AAAAATAATAATATTTTTTAGCATTAATTTATTTACAAAATAAAAAATAATATTTGTAATGTTTTTTAATTTGAAAAATCACTAACAGAATTTTTTTTTATTTTGAACTAAAATAAAGTTTATCAACAATCTTTTTTGAATTTAAATATTTTTTGTAAATGTAAGTACTTCAAAAATGTCTAGCGACTTCATTGTTCAAAATATGAAAGTTTATTGAGTTTTTTTCAAACTTTTTCCATTATTTACCAAATTAACCAGTTTTATAAGTCCTAAAAATGTATCTAACAAGTTTTATAAAGTCCAAGGAGTTATTTAACAAGCTTTGAAATGTTCAAGAACTTATTTCTTCTAAAAAATTATCCAATGACTTAATTTTTCCAACCACTAAAGTCCATTGAAATTTTTTAGACCTTTTCCGATTTTATTTTAAGCTAATTTTTTTTAGAAAAGAGATAATATTTTAATTAGGGATGTACAAAACTCGAATAGGTCAAAAATGTGAACCAAAACCGAATTGAAAATAAGACGTGTAAAACCCAAATATCTCAAAATATGAAACTCGACCTTCAGAGGATGTTTGGGTTCGGTATGGATTTTGATTTTTTGTCACCCCACCCATTCAAAAACCCAAATATCTCGAAATCTAAAACTCGACCTTCATAGTATTTTTCTCTCACTAGTTGGGTAAAATTTCGCTCATTGTCATGACTCTTACCAGATAAGATTTTCGATTCTTCTTATGCTTAATAGGTAAGATAAATATCTTGATAAACACTTATTTGTTAAGTATTTACCAAACAGTCCATAACTTCCAAAAGTTTGGTACATTAATCCACAATTTTCATTCATCCTTGTAGACGATAAGAATATAGACACCAGTCAAAGACCTTCCAGCCTAGTGGTAAAGGCTTGGGCATGTCATAGTCATGAACCCGAGTTCGAGCCGTGGGAGTGGAGTGTTGACGTTTAAGTGGGGCCATGTTTAGCCTCCAAATTTGTTGGGGATTAGTTGGGCTTTGGCCCGGACACCCTTACAATATATATATAGGGTATATTTCTTTTACAACCTTGTGCATTTGTACAACCTTTGCAACCCAATTAATTGAGATATTTATAGAAATGATTGGAGTTCATTTATTATGATTTGAATATTTATGGAATATGAATAGAGTTTATTAATTATGATTAATACTTTATATTAGGAAACAATTAATTGATTAGAAATTGAATGGTTGAGATGAGGGTTGTATAGGGTGTAGGAATGACAAAGAGTGCAGAATAACATCCCTCTATATATATATATAGACACCATATGCCATATTTCCGTGCATTTTGCATGATTTTGAAACATACATTTCTATACAGTGTTTATTTGTATAACGTCTTAAATATATCTGTATCTGAACATTTTGACTCAACTAATCTATGAAGGTTGCGTAAAGTGCATTTTCACAGATAAGATGTTTTTCTGAAAACAATCATTTCTACTTGTTGAGGTAAAATAAACGTTTGTGCACATCTTATCTTTATGTTATAAAACTACTGGGATTTACTGAGTTTATTTAATCTGGGTTGGTTTTTAATGTATTATAATACTGCTAGCTGATTGATCCACATGGGTCATTATTTACAACGTTATAAAATAGACAAGGTATGTTTTACAGGTGTTTTGGACTCGTGTTTTTGAAATAGGTCCCATTATATACACTATCTTTATACTATTTCACACACTATCTCATTATTTAAATATATTATTCACATGTCTTTTTATAAATTTTAATTTACTTTGCCTATTATTTTAAAATGTGTTAATTGATATGGTTGGTTCTAGTGAGAAAAAAAGTTAAGGTGAGAAGTGTAAAATAGGATCTCTAATTTTCCACCATTAGATGCATATTAGGATGAGATGCACCTAGATACACCGAATCAATCCCCATATCAAACGTGATTCATGGATGAGTTTGAGATTAAAAATGATCAATGGTTCATATACCTTCTTATATTTCTCACTTTAACTCTATTTCTCACACAATCGTTACCTTTGATTAATATTATTAATAAGAATAAACTGTGATTTTTCGTTCGTATGGCTTCTTACTTATAACCGTTTCCGTTTTCAGTTTTTAAAATTTGATTTTACTCCAGTTTTCATTTCGTTTTGTTTTTGTCAGTGGAACTAACTATGTTAAAAAAATTCTGTTAAGTCAATATCAAATATAATATATCATTTGATTGAGTTTGACATTTGATGATTTTTATATAATGTTATTTTCAATGCATTCAACACCCCTATTAGAGCATCTCCAACAGTTATGTTAAATTATAAAAATAATGATTTTGGCAGCTTCTTTTATTCAACTGTTATGCTGTCTTGTATGTTAAAATAAAGAAAATAGAAGATATATTGTAAAAATCTATAAATAGAGAGATAAATTATTATTTTATATATTTCCACCAATAAGAAAAGTTGGATATAAATGTTTATGAGAAAGAAATTATATTTTATTAAATGTACTGAATATTTTAATAATATATTGAATGTTATAATGGCTAAAATAAAGCAGCTGTTGGAGTATAATATAATTTTTTTAGAGATTTTAACTTTTAATACTCTATTTTAGAAAAAAAAATGTAACATAGCTCTTGAATATACTCTTAAAGGTGCAAATAGCGATGTCTTTCCAATTTGATCAAAATTTTCATTAGGAGGTGGGCTAAATGCACCCCTATGCATTGCTTAATGCACTCCTATCATGAATTTCTTCCTCACACACATCAACATCAATGCATGTTTTTTACATTCCCAATGCTTGAAATGACCTGATTCTGACATGAAAGGGAGTGCCATTAGCACTCCCCTTTCATTAGCACTCATCTTAACAGGGGATGTTGAATGCTTAAAAATTCGTGTCACCTTTAAAATCCATAAAATGTCAAATGAATTAAATAATATAGGATAAAATGCACCAAATAATAACATACTTTCAAAAACTTTCTTATTATATCATTGTACTTTAAGTTTTTCTTATTACAACAATGTATTTTCCAAATATTTTTTATTAGAGCATCGTACTTTCAAAATTTTATCTGTTATAACATTGGGTAATTCTTTAAATTAAATTTACCCATTATACCATGTTTTTTGCTACTTATCGTCCATGTAGGCTATCCACATGTACGATAGTGCTGATATGACATTTTTCATTATAGCATTATACTTTCAAAATTAGTTTATTATAACATAAAAAATTTCTATTATAACATTGTACCTTAATTTTACTATTTTTATCATTTAAAAAATATTAATTTAATCAAATATATTTACTAAAAATTATAATATCATAAATGAAACATGTTTACAAAAGATTATTATTTTATGAATAAAAATATTCATAAAAAACCATTTATTGATTGAGTCCATCGTAAATTTCATAACTTATTTTGTAATGTCAAAAAGTAAACAAATGGAACATCTTTAAAAAAACCACATTTTATTCATATTCGTCTAACAATGATATTTAATCAAGTGGAACCGCTTTGTCCAACTACTATATTCTCCATTTTTTTCAATAATATTTTTTCATGGGTTGTTCAAAATTATCATTTCATTTGACCTATTTTTTTTGGATGAGTTTTGATCGTGATTTCACTTGAGATGGTTCATGTTCAAATTAGTATGCAGTTGATATATAAAATTAGTATGAAACTCGAAGATGAGGTGACCAAGAAACACAGTATAATGAGTAAATTTAATTTAAAAAGTTACTCAATGTTATAACGGGTAAATTTTTGAAAGTACGATGCTATAATAAAAATATATTTTGAAAGTATATTAATGTAATAAGAAAAAATAAAAGTACAATATACTATAATAAAAAAAATTGTAAAAATAAATTGTTATTTTACGCATTTTACCCAGTAATATATTATATTTAATTATCATTATTATTTTATACATATACATTAATTAAGATATGTATGTGTGTGTGTGTGATGGGGGTACATTTTACACATATTATATATATTCTTATTTATATTATTATTGTATATTAATTTATTATCTTCATTTAAATTATATATACATACATATATATATATATGTGTATGTATATAATATTATATATATGTATTAGTATTAAAGTCTCTTTGTAAAAATGGATCTCTGCCCTTTGATGCACATTAGGATGAAATATACCGAGATGTATCCAGAAAGTTTTTTGTAAAACCTAAGGATAATGAGATGACACCATAAGAATTGAGTATTCTAATATGGTGAATTTTTGGTTGAGTTTTAGTTGTCCTAAATTGTTGAAGAGTTTAAAGATTTAAATAAAGTGAAGTGCACGAAAAGATGGATAGTGTTTTTGTGTCAATTCATGGGGTTCTCCTCATTGGGTGGTCTTATTTTGGATAACCCTCTTTTAAATCTATAACCATGGTTGGAATCAAAACCAACCAAATGGTAAGAATCATAGTACAAAACCAAAAGTGAAACCAATGATGATGACTTGACAATATGAGGTTTGGTTGTTCATCAAATACGAAATAAGGTTGACTTTCATCATTTCACATTGATAGAAAGATGATAGTTTGAAAGAAGATGATTGATGCATAAAAACGTGATGGAGCTTAGAAATCTATAACAATGGTTGAAATAAAAAACAACTAATTGGTAATTTTTTTGTGCAAAACGAATGCAAATGATACATTTTTTTTCTTAACAAGAGTTGTGATTATTGTAGTACTTATAATAACAAATGTAATTTAAGTATCTATTATATCATTTATATATACACAGAATGAAAGTATTGACTTAATAAATTGCTTTAACCTGAGTGTAGTATTCTCAAAATCGTGATTTACGGTGTTGGATGAGGTGTTACAAATATAAATTCAATACAGATTTTCAGACACATCACACTTCCGCCCAAAATTGTTTTGATTTAGATGAGTTATTCGGTATCAGATTTTTTTATGCCGAGGGCTAAGTTCATGGATCCCTCGTTTGTATAAATTGAAATCTTTTTATTTGTGAAAATTTGTTCATAAAAGAAATGAGCATACTTTTAATCGAGATGGATACTGTAATTGTATAAATTTTTCCCTTAAAAACTTATTAAATAAGTCAATTTTTATATCATTAAATCACTATCAAACAGTCATATATAACTAATTGAATAAACTATGAATTATATTAAACTCGTTGAACCGCTAACAAACCTCTCTAAGGGGTTGTATGACAGTTGTTGAATGGTTTAATGCAGAATAATTAAGTGATCATAATTATTAAGGGTGTGTTTGGTGTGAGGATATGACAGGACAGGGCTAAACAACTATTCAACGTTTGGTAAGATAACACTGGACATAACAGAATAAGTAAAATGACTAATTTACCCCTGATGAGTTGTTTATTTTAATTATTTTATTAAATTATAATATAATAATTATTTTTTATAACAAAATATATCATTTGAAGTTTTCGTCAAAACAATTAAAATGATACAAAATAAAAAGTTTATGTATTTTCTATTTTTATCGCTTTTCTACATTATTTTATTATTATTAATATATAATAAATTATATAAATTAATAAAAATATAGAAACCTATAAAAACAATATTTTAAGGACAGTAAAATGAAAGTTTAAAAAATATAAAATACAAATAAATAAAATTTAAGGAATGAATAAAATGTAAAAAAGAGACATATTTGATGTTTTAGAAGAGAATTAAGTTTTATCTTGAGGTTATATTGGTAAAATATAAGTCTGTTTCACCTTGTTCCATGGGGTAGGGGTGGAACAGACCTGTTCCACCTTGTTCCTGTCTGTTCCACATAAAATTCATGCCAACCATGGGACAAAGATCATTGTCATGTTCTGTCATGTCCCTGTCCAGTGTACTAAATGCACCCCAAGAGACTTTCATGATATAATTAAAAATAAACATAATTATTTGGTAATTGTTTACAATGAAATTAGAACTCTGAATGATTAAGAAAGATCCATAATATAAAAGCATCCAGAGAGTTCCGTAACCATTAAAAAACATATTTTTTACCAAACAAGATTTAACTCTTAACAATTCAAATAATATCTTTTAGTAAAACTATTAATTTTATTACAATTGAAATGAAATAAAAGGAAACATTTGGGAACAATTATCTATGATAAATCGTGCAACGCACGTGATACATCTGTTACAATTTTTGTCTTTTATTTCCCACTTTCATATTTTCAAAGCGTCTTTTTGATTATATAACCGATGAAAACACCATCACTGTTTGTGTGGGTCCCACTCACCTTATTCCATCCACACCCCACTCTCCCTCCCTTCGCGTGTCTCTCACGTGCCATTATCCTCACCTTCCTCAAAACCTACCCACACGACAAAATCTCCCAACAATAATTAAAATCAATTTGAAATCGGAAAATCGTAAAAAGGTTGGTACTTTTTTCCATTGGTTTTTATCTTTTCTAAGCTCACTCGGTATATACTTACAGAGATTCTGTATCTATCTGTGTGTGGTTTCGTGGGTTATACTGTGTTCTTCTTTTGAAAGAATGGTTAGTTGGGGGAGTAATCGGACAAGAAAATCGAATCGGCAAAGCCCTAAAAGTGCGATCCGTTTGTTTAATTTTGTAATTTTTTTTACTTCACGCAGTATATACTTACAGTGATTCTGTACCTGTGTATCCATTTCTGTGTGTTTTTGTTGTAAAAATGGTTAATTGAATGTTGCAGGGTGGATTTGAGAAGATACCCAGATCGGAAAACTGTTCAGAATTCCAATGAGATGAATTTGAGGCAGAGACCAGTACCCACGCGCGGCCGTGGGAATTCCGACGCGCCGTCACAGGCGGCGAGGCTTGAGGAGCCGTATAATATAATTCCGATCCACAGTTTACTTTCTGACCACCCGTCTCTTCGGTTTCCGGAAGTTAGAGCTGCCGCGGCCGCTCTACGCGCCGTCGGGGACCTCCGGCGGCCGCCGTTCCGAGAGTGGCGAGATGGGATGGACCTTATGGATTGGCTTGGTGCGTTTTTTGGGTTTCAAACCGACAACGTTCGGAATCAACGGGAGCATCTTGTCCTCCACCTTGCTAACGCCCAAATGCGCCTCTCTCCGCCGCCGGCCATCGTCGACAACCTCGACCATGGTGTTCTCCAGCGGTTTCGCCGGAAACTTCTCCGGAACTATGAATCTTGGTGCTCTTTCCTCCGTAAAAAATCACAGGTAAAAATCGCACATTTCCGGCAGAATGCCGAGACCCACCGCCGGGAACTTTTGTATGTAGCTATGTATCTATTGATTTGGGGAGAAGCCGGAAATCTCCGGTTTACGCCGGAATGTTTATGCTATATTTATCATCATATGACTTCTGATTTAAACAAAGTTCTCGCCGGAGATCCAGATAATCCGCCGATCTCCGGCGAAAACGCTTTCTTGAACAAGATAATTACACCGATTTATACGACGATCAAAACCGAAGTTGAAAGAAGTCGGAACGGAAAAGCTCCGCATTCGGCTTGGAGAAATTACGACGATATAAACGAGTTTTTCTGGAGTCGAAAATGCTTCAAGAAGCTGAAATGGCCGTTGGAACTTTCGAGCAATTTCTTTGTCGATGATCCGAAAACCGTGAATCGAGTCGGAAAGACGGGTTTCGTCGAGCAAAGAACTTTTTGGAATGTGTTTCGGAACTTTGATCGGTTATGGGTTTTGTTATTCTTGTTCTTCCAAGCCTCGATGATCGTTGCTTGGCGAGAAACCGAGTATCCGTGGCAAGCGGTTGAAGACCGAGATGTTCAAGTTGAATTGCTTACGCTATTCATCACGTGGGCCGGTCTCCGATTCGGTCAATCGGTTCTTGATGCCGGGACGCAATACAGTTTGGTTTCACGAGACTCGAAATTGCTTCTTTTTCGAATGATTATGAAAAGCATGGTTTCGTTAACTTGGGCGATGGTGTTCACTGTCTTCTACATTCAGATTTGGATTCAGAAAAACTCCGACGGCGGGTGGTCGGATGCCGCTAACGACAAAATCATCGTGTTTTTGAAAGCGGGCTTGGTTTATATCATCCCGGAACTACTAGCATTGCTTCTTTTCGTTATTCCTTGGGTTCGAAACTTCATCGAAGAAACCAATTTCATTGTTTTCGATGCGTTAACGTGGTGGTTTCATTCCCGACTCTATATCGGCCGAGGTTTACGCGAAGGTTTAGTTAGCAACATAAAATATACGTTCTTTTGGATCGTTATATTGCTATCGAAGTTTTCGTTCAGTTATTTTCTGCAAATTAAGCCGCTCGTTGCGCCTACCAAAGCGCTTTTAAGCCTCGGAAGACTTCGGTATAATTGGCACGAGTTCTTCAGCAACACGAATCGGATGGCGGTTGTTCTTATATGGATTCCGGTTGTTTTGATGTATTTAGTAGATATGCAGTTATGGTATACGGTTATTTCAGCTTTTGTCGGATCGGTCGTCGGTTTATTCTCGCATTTGGGGGAGATTCGGAACATTGAGCAGCTTCGATTACGGTTTCAGTTCTTCTCGAGCGCGTTGCAGTTTAATTTGATCCCCGAGGATCAAATGATGACTGCAAAAGATAGTCTCGTTCAGAAGCTTCGTAACGCGATTCATCGGATCAAGCTCCGGTATGGGCTCGGTCAACCGTTCAAGAAGATCGAGTCGAGTCAGGTTGATGCGAGACGGTTTGCCTTGATTTGGAATGAGATTATTTATACGATGCGGGAAGAAGATTTGATTAGCGATGAGGAGGTCGAGTTAATGGAATTGCCACCTAACTGTTGGAATATAATGGTGGTCCGATGGCCGTGTTTTCTTTTGTGTAACGAGCTCCTCCTGGCTCTGAACCAAGCGATCGAGTACCCCCGTTCACCGGACCGTTGGATCTGGTTCAGGATTTGTAACAGCGAGTACCGACGGTGTGCAGTCATCGAAGCATATTGCAGCATTCGGTTCTTGATACTCGAGATCATTCAAAATAGATCAGAAGAACACTCGATTGTTACGAGATTATTCATGGAAATTGATCATTTTCTTGGGTCCGGCGAGTTTACGAAAGTTTACAAAACAGAAACACTCCCTCGGATTCACGCACAGTTGATCAAGCTCATTGGAATTCTGTTGTCGGCCGATCAAAACACAAACAAACTGGTCGATGTTTTGCAAGCTTTATACGAGCTCACGGTTAAAGAACTCCCGTGGTCTAAGAAACCAGTGGCTCAGTTGATCGAAGAAGGTTTAGCTCCCCGGAATCCGGCCACCACTGAAGACAATTTGCTTTTTGTGAACCGAGTTCGGTTTCCGAAACCAGACGACGTTTTTTTCTTTCGGCAGCTCCGGCGACTAAACACGATCCTCACGTCTCGTGACTCGAAGCGGGACGTCCCGAAGAACCTCGAGGCTCGGAGAAGGATTGCGTTTTTCAGCAACTCGCTCTTCATGAACATCCCGCGGGCCCCGCAAGTCGAGAAAATGATGGCGTTTAGCGTTTTGACACCATATTATGAAGAGGACGTTCTTTATAAAAAAGAATCTTTACGAACACCGAACAACGACGGTATCTCGACGTTGTTTTATTTGCAGAAAATATACCAAGACGAGTGGGATAATTTTATAGAGCGAATGCGGGGAGAAGGGATGAAAGATGACGATGAGATCTTCAAGACGAAATCGCGAGAACTTCGAGTTTGGGCTTCGTATCGTGGCCAAACGTTGGCCCGAACCGTTCGTGGAATGATGTATTACTATCGGGCTCTTAAGATTCTGGCATATCTTGATTCGGCATCGGAGGTCGATATCAAGCAAGGATCGCAAAATATCGACTACCGGATGGCCCCACGGGGTGCGAGGAGTTTAAACCGAGCCATGAGTAGCCTCGGTGTGCTAAAAGGGAACGAGGTCGCAGCCGCGATGATGAAGTTTACATACGTTGTTTCGTGCCAAAAATACGGATCCCAGAAACAAAAAGGTGAGCAGCAAGCGGAGGACATTTTAAATTTGATGAAGAATAACGAGGCGCTACGGGTGGCGTATGTCGACGAGGTTCGGTTGGGTCGAGATGAGGTCGAGTATTATTCTGTGCTTGTGAAGTACGATGATCAATCAAAGAAAGAAGAGGAGATTTACCGGATCAAGTTACCGGGCCCGATGAAGCTCGGCGAGGGAAAACCCGAGAACCAAAACCACGCGATTATATTCACTAGAGGGGATGCGCTTCAAACGATCGATATGAACCAAGATAATTCATTCGAAGAAGCTCTTAAGATGCGGAACCTTCTGGAAGAATTTACGATCAGTCACGGGATCCGGAAACCGACGATCCTCGGAGTTCGCGAAAACATCTTCACCGGTACGGTGTCATCGCTCGCTTGGTTCATGTCGACTCAAGAAATGAGCTTCGTGACACTTGGCCAACGGGTTCTTGCGAACCCTCTAAAGATCCGCATGCATTACGGTCATCCCGATGTTTTCGATCGGTTCTGGTTCATTACTCGGGGTGGAATCAGCAAAGCGTCGAAAACGATCAATATTAGCGAAGATATATTCGCCGGGTTTAATTGCACACTGCGGGGCGGGAATGTGACACATCACGAGTATATTCAAGTTGGAAAAGGTCGGGATGTCGGGTTGAATCAGATCTCGATGTTCGAAGCGAAAGTAGCTTCTGGAAACGGCGAGCAGGTTTTGAGCCGAGATGTGTACCGATTAGGCCACCGGCTCGATTTCTTTCGGATGTTATCGTTCTTTTATTCGACCATCGGGTTTTATTACAACACGATGATTATGATCGTGATGATATACACTCTTTTGTGGGGCCGGCTTTATCTCGCATTGAGTGGGATCGAGGGGGCCGCGATGGATAATACCCAATACAACAAAGCGTTTGGGGCCGTTTTGAACCAGCAGTTCGTGGTCCAGATCGGGGTTTTCACGGCACTTCCGATGATTGTCGAGAACTCGTTAGAACACGGGTTTTTATCGGCCGTTTGGGATTACATCACGATGCAGCTACAGCTCGCGTCAGTTTTCTTCACGTTCTCGATGGGAACCCGAAGCCATTATTTCGGTCGAACCATTCTTCACGGTGGAGCCAAATACCAAGCCACGGGACGCGGGTTTGTGGTCGAACACAAGAGTTTTGCTGATAACTACCGGTTGTATGCACGAAGCCATTTCGTGAAAGCGATCGAGCTCGGTGTGATCTTGACGGTTTACGCTTCGAACACCCCGTTAGCGATCAGCAACTTCCTTTACATAATTTTAAACATCTCGAGCTGGTTTCTTGTTGTCTCGTGGATCATGGCCCCGTTCGTGTTCAACCCGTCGGGTTTCGATTGGTTGAAAACCGTGTACGATTTCAACGATTTCGTGAAATGGTTGTGGTACGGTGGCGGTTCGTTAGCAAAGGCAGAAGTGAGCTGGGAAACATGGTGGTACGAGGAACAAGATCATTTACGAACGACAGGTTTGTGGGGGAAGTTGCTCGAGATCATTCTTGATCTTCGGTTTTTCTTTTTCCAATATGGAGTCGTATACCACCTCAATATCGCGAATAACAGTACGAGCATCGTCGTATATTTGTTATCGTGGGTTTTTATGATCGTGGCTGTCGGGATTTATATCATTATAGCGTACGCTCAAGATAAGTTTGCAGTGAAAGAACACGTGAAATACCGGCTCGTGCAACTTCTCGTATCGTTTTTGATCGTTCTTGTGGTTATCTTGATGTTGGAGTTTACGAAATTGACGATTTTGGATATGTTTTGGAGTATTTTGGGGTTTATTCCGACCGGATGGGGGATCATATCCATCGCGCAGGTTTTACGGCCGTTTCTCGAGAGCTCGGTTGTTTGGGATACTGTTGTATCGGTGGCTCGGCTCTACGATATGCTGATCGGAATGTTTGTTTTGGCTCCACTCGCGTTCTTATCTTGGATGCCCGGGTTTCAAGCGATGCAGACGAGGATTTTGTTCAACGAAGCGTTTAGCCGAGGCCTTCAGATCTCTCGGATTCTTACCGGGAAGAATATCAACATGGAGTCGTGATATCGAGGTTATATCCTTGTCTCCTTTACATCCAAAACGGATCAAATTTTCTAATCTGATTTCGAGTTGCAGTTAACTTTTGTTGTATGATCGAAATTTCAGGCTTCAGGGACATCCGTGGATCGGACTTATTTTTGCATCGATGGGAGGTCGGAAGGTTGTTATTTTCGTATTGTTAAACGTTCGATTCGATTTCTTTTTTGACATTACATTAGTAGTAGTCGTTCGATTTGTACATATTAGCGTAGAAGCTATTTATAAATTCGATCTTATGATTCGGCAATTTTTTACATTATCTGGTACACAGAAATGACCGGACAGGATCGAGTATATGGACATGACTAGACAGAATTGGACCGACTAGAGTAACTAAACGGTTTTCCATTAAGTCATGTATGGATAAGATTAATCTGTCTGTATAGATTGTGAAGGTTTTTTCATGGATGGAAGAAACATGTTTTTTAGTTGGGAGAGACAGGATTGGAAAAACTTAGTTTTCTGCATAAAGCTATACTGTAGATACTGAATAAGTCATTTTTTATATCATCAAACCACTACCAAACAATTATGTATAGGTCAGCGAACAGGTCGACTCCCATTAAGCTCATTAAGCCGCTAACAGACATGCTCTTGGTCCTGTCCCAATCTAATTGTCGCACCAATCATAAGACAACAGTATGTTGTCGTTTTCCACATACCGAACGCATCCGAAAAACATACGCAAATAGACGAATTTCGATATGATTAAAGGGCAAAAATGCCCAAATTGCTTCTTTTACAACATCTAAGTGTACATCACATCATCAAGAACAATTACAACCAAATGATCTCAGAAAACTTGTTGTTCTTGGGTAGTAACAGGAACTTTTTGGTACAAAACCCTCTCTCTGAATCTCTTCGGCAACACTGATCGGCCTCCGAATCGTTGCTGAACGTAAATCACGAGAACGCAAATCGTCCCACCGCAACAAACCGCAACGTCCCAAGTAGTCGAATAGTAATCCATCCCTGGATTTGCGTAAATCTTGTCGTAAGACCATGACGAACTATGCGTTCGATATAGATCGTAAATGTGCGGCAACAAGCGGACGATGGTGGATCCGACGTAAAACGACGGAGCCAGAGCCGGTACACGGGCGTCGCAGAAGACGTTGAACACGATCTGTGGTATCAAGAATCCATCAAGAATTAAACCGATGTAAGATTTGAGTTCGCCCCAGAGAGTTCCCGAATTGTGGGCGTGAAACCGTTGTCGACCGATATGAATCGGTTTCGTTTGCGAGTTTGTTAAGGAGTGTGCGAACCAAGCGGTTAGACCACCGGCTATGTATAACGGAATCGATACATAAAGAACCTTTTTATCGGATATCCACAGGTTTTGTGGGCTCTCGGGGCCATTTCTTGACGACCAAGTGAGTTGCAGCAAACCGAACTGGAGAACAAACGCAACCATTGTAATGACTCGAACCAGCACCTCGTTAACTTCGAGCCATTGATCGGTGCCAAGAAACACATTCTGTTTCCGGTTTATGAGAAAAATTGCTTCGAAGTTGAGCAACAGCGGGATCATGTGCGATAACGTGAGAACGACCAACATGATTACGGAAACAAAGGGAAGCGATTCGGGATTCTTTTTCGCATGAAACAGCTGCGAACAGATGAAAATGCAAGTGAGCGTGTTGGAGATCAGAACCATGGTGATTTCTAGGTCCATTCGCCATATCGTTTCTCTGGCTTGGACCGTCGTTATCGAGCTCGAACCAAACTCGACAGGTTCGAAGTAAAGCGGGTCGGATTTCTTTCGGGAGGTTTTGATACTCCCGACAACCATTCCGGCGTCTTTTCCATTCAACGGTGAGTAGTTTATGTCAATCAGAAGTTCACAATCCAACGATCGTTTCTTCTGGAACTTCTCGTACGGCATATGCTTACAACCGATCATACATACAACTCCATTTTTGGTATTATACGTACCTTCGGCCGAAATTTCAACCATTTTATGTGCCGGAACTTTACCGCCAAACTCAAATTCGCCACGAGTCGTGAAGCTCATCACATAGCTAATGTTAACGTACCCGTTACTTGAATTGTGACGGAATTCGATCTTGGCAAACGGCGAGTAAATTTTGTCGTATACGTAAAACGGAGATGCATAACCGTATGCCATTTGCCCTTTCTTGTTTCTAACCATCATATCGAATCTCAAGTTTGGAGATTGCTCGTCCGGGTACGTCCCTTTACTACTCGGTTTACCACCGAGACTTTTTGTGCACAAATTTCCGACCTTTTCGTGTTCCAAATACTCATACAACGTATTCTTGATCCTTGAGTTTAGGTTCGCAGGACTCTGAAACGAAACGTGGCCAAGATTCTTGCTTTCGGTACTCCACATTTTACCCACAATGCTACTTCGATGTTTTAAACTAAGAGTCGAAGGTAAACTAAATGCTAACCTAATGGAACAACCTCTTTTAGACATTTTATCGAACAGTTGGCAAGCGACTAACGCGAGGCGTTTCTTCTTCTGATCCCATGCCCCTTCTCCAACCAAGCTAGTAAGCGGATAATACGAGAAACCTTTGCCATAGCTCGAATTCGAAAACTGCAAAATGTACCTCACTTTCCCATCCTTCAAACAATCAACAACTTTAATCGACATGAATCGAGGTAGTATTTCATCTCCTACAGTTTGAAGGCTACAAGAAGCATTATCGCAATCGTACCGATTGTAATCCAATTCAAATTGAAGACCCCATGTTATGATCGAACATATTCCATGTCCGTAAACCGTCTCTGAATCAGGCAAGCTAAGAGAAACATTTTCCATCCCATCATAAAGACTAAAACCGCCATTTTTGATCTCTTCATCAATGAAACTGAAGTTATATCCCATACGTGAAACACCCAAAATCGAAATAGGTTTAAAATAAGTAGCAGAACCCGAAGGCATTATACTTTGCAATGTCCCATTAACCAAACTGGTATCAAGAACAGAAGAATTGGGATAATTGAGCTTGAAAACAACATTAATGGAGCGTAAAGAGCTTACCGATCCAGAACCCACCATACATAGCTTCCCAGAATCAGAATCCCAAAACCCGAATAGCCTAAACTCAGCTCCAACGTTTTTGCGAGGCTCAATCCTCGGTGGCCGGACCTTAACAAGCCGTAATCTTCGCCGTGTAATATCGCCGGAAAAATAATCAACAATGTTCGGCCCAACAAGGTTGAGAAGCGCGTCAACCTTAAAAATCCCCTTCGATTTAGTCCCGTAAGCCTTTCGGGTGGAAAACGATGCGATTTGAGAGAAAACGGGATTGAAATTGAATCGAGGCTTTTCAAATCCTAAGCTATAAACCGCCTTATCTAACCGGAGAAAAGCATCCGCCGATAATTGAGTTTCTGTTGATTCGGATTCCGGAACCACGCCATTACAGTATTGAGAGTACGGAACTTCGGAGAAAGCTTGTGAAATTGAGGTTGATTTCGAGATGAAAACTGTGAAAATCAGAGCGAATCGAAGGACATTAAGAGATGAAAACGAAACCCTAATTTGAGATTTGGAGAAATCAACCGAACCGAATCGTATCTCCATTGAAACTCAGATTCGTTCGAAGCTAAACCTTCACATCCTCTCTCTCTCTCTCTCTCTCTCTCTAAATCTATATATGTTTCTCTCTCTACACGTATCTATGGCGTATTTTCTCTCTCTCTAAAAATACTGAAACTTCAACCAGAATCTTTTACGGTGGTTAAGATGGCAAGAAATCTCCATGGCTTAATTTTGATCCTGCATATACGTATTAATTTTGATCCTGCAGATACGTCTTGTACATGGTGCATGGATAACAGTAGACACCATTTATGCATTATTAAGTTCTCAGAGTCGTTTACTAAACACTTACCCGTAACTGTTTTTCAGATCACTTTATTTGAACGGATGAATATGACAAAGATTAAAAATCTTGTCCAATAAGAATGATTATAAGGATCGAAAGTTTTACCTGATAAAAATATTGCATATGATGTCGTTTCAATTAACTAAAATCTTACATGGTAAGTTAAGTGGGAATGTGATTTTTACCGGTAAGCACTTATTGGGTACACATCAGGTAAACAATCTCTTAGAGTATCTCTAACAAATTCTCCAAAATGGATAAAATGGTCATTTTATGTATTTTGACCCAATTCGCAGGAATCAATAGAAAAGATAAATCTTTTATAATACATCAGATCCGACTCGGTGATTAACAGATTAGATAAAAACTATTATTTATTAAATCTCTCTCTTCTGATTTAAAATTATGATTTTTTTTTCTGTATGATTTATAATTTATTGTTATTTGTTCTTGTAATCTATAAGTTATTGTTTTTTTTGTACTTTATAATTTATTATTGTATTCGTTCCTTGTACTTACATGTAAAAGTTTTAGTTTCAAGGATAAAAATAGCTAGGGATGTGCAGAAAACCATCTGATCCAATTTAAACCAACCGATCAAAATCGGATATCCAATTGTAATTGGATCGGGTCGGATCTAAAAATTCAACATCCAAATTGGATAGATTGGTTCTTGGATGGTAGTCCACCATCCAATGGAACCGATCCGATCCCCCATCTAATTATCATCCAACCAATATCCAATTAATAACTATATATAATTATCAACATTTCACGATATTGTTTTTTTACTTGATATTTACATATATTTTTTTAATAACTTAAGAAAATATACGAATAATTGGTTGAAATGGTCGATTAATTGGTTGAATATTGGATCAAAAGATTGGACGAATCCAATCTGATCCAATGGATGAAACCGATCCGATCCAATAATCTATTAGATTCAGATCGGATCGGATGTCCAATGTTAATCCATTCGGATCGGATGAAAAAAATTCAACAACCAATGAATGATTGGATTGGATTAGATCAGATCGTATCCACCCAAATCCATTAAATTTCAACCGATGAACACCCCTAAAAATAATAATGAATTACAAATCACAAGGATAAAAACCACAATTTCAAAACCATAAATATGAAAGTTGTAATTTTTAATAAACAATAGGGACTAAAAACACAATTTACTCATAAATTTATGAAAGTCAAAACTAAAAAAAGGAAATATTTGTAAAATCAACCCTCAAGTATTGAGATTGAGCAAATTGAGTCTAAAATTATTATTTCTTACTAATAAGATACATGAGACATTTTTATCTTTTCGTTCTTGTTTATGGTTGTTTTGATCTAATCAATAAACAAAACATAAAAGATAAACAATTCTCATCAGATCGTACCAACCGAATTATTTGGTTTATGTTTAGAGCTGTTCCTGGTAGTGATGTCCAAACCGGCCCGATCCCGTCCGGGATCGTCGGAGGACCGGTTATAGGATCGAAATCTGGGACTGGTTATGGATTTAGGGTGTTTCGCGGTACCGGGACCGGTTATAGACCGGCCTGACCCAATTTTTCAAAAATGTAGCGGTTATTTTTCAAAAATGTAGCGGTTATTTTTCAAAAAACTAGCCCTTTTTTTGGCCATTTTTTTGTATTTTTTGCTTTATAAACACTATATATAAGTGTATTGGTTGAGGAATTTACATACCAAGTTCTCGATTCGCAAAAACGCAAAAAAAGGCTCACAATTATTGGTTTCTCGCTATATTTTGAAAGACAACGTAGTTTTAATTATAATAAAATGCATTTTTAAAGTGTTTTGAATGACAAAATTACAAATTTTATAATGTATTAAAAATATATATCATTAAAAAAAATTATTTTTAATGACCGGGACCGGGACCGACGGCCCATAACCTGTTACAATAAAGTTTGACCGGGCTCAACTTTTTCGAACATGACCGGTTATTGCCGGTTATGAAAAATCTTGGGACCGGTTAGGCCTGGCCCGGGACCGGTTTTTGTCCCTCACTAGTTCCTGGAGTAAGACGGGCTGGGCATGTGCCAAGGGCCCATAAAAACCAGGGGCCTAAAAAAGAAGTTGTTTTGTATGAATTATTTATGTTTGTCATATACAATTTCATTTTTGATAAGGAAAACATTTATTAAAGATTATTTTTTCGTAGATATGAATATGACCCATCTTTTATAAATCGTTCAGGGCTCATAAAATGCCACGAACGAGCCTGATATCGTTATGTACATCCTAAATTGTTCATACACGTCCTCATCAGCACGTCCCTCCTCACCCTCAATCGTTACTCTCCCCACCCTTCTCACTGGAGCCGTCATCTGTCTCATCCTAACGTCCCAAAAAACCAATTCAATCTTCCCTCTCTCAGTAATTGAGAGAGAGGCACAACCCGTAGCTTTGCCCTGAAAACCTTGTTCGGTATGCAGTCCAACATGGTCCAACCACATGTCCATCTCAGCATCCTCATTTCTACAAGATGGTCTGATGACCACCGTGAAGTTTGAAGCAACGGTCTAATCTATCCGAGCGCAGTAAGGTTTGAACCCTTGACCTCCAATGAGGTTGAGCTCAACCCAGATACCGCTGGGTTAATGACCCTTTTGATGGATTGTTGTCGTTTCTCCGAACAACATAAGGTCAAGATACATGATCATATCAGACAATTGAGATCTTTACTACAAAAAGATGGCAGCATACAATGTGTAATAAACAGATTATTATAATTTTCCAAAATTGTATTTACAACAAAAAATGGGTAACCGATAAATCTAACTGACGAGAAAGAAAAATCATATACGATGTAACGATGAACACTCATTTTGAACAGATTTTTCCTATCCCAAAATTGCATTCCCTAACACAGGGAAGGTTAGAATGATCCCCTTTTTGCTTACATTTAGTAGTTTCGTGTGCCTGCAGCAACTTTCCGATGCCGCCTTGAGCTTGGTTTTTTGTCTCTTCGGCGTTTTGTTGATGGCTTCTTTTTTGGATTACTTACAATCTTCTCTGTAGAAGTTTTTGGTGGTTTATCGGTAGGAATGGAGGATCGAGTATTGGAAACAACAGGTGCACCAGGAGGCGGTGGCGGTGCCCAATGCTCAAGAACGTCTCTGTGGTATCCCTGGCAGGAGGGGGGGGGGGTGGAGCCATCGGAAAAATGCATGAATTACAATGTATATTGAATTGGAATATAAGATGTTCAAATGAGAACGGTACAATTTTGAGAACCCGAGAACCAACTATTTCGTGTTCACTAATTCATGATGATTGATGAATAACCTAAAATGTTCATGAATATCATCTATTTCATGATGATATTCATTGTGAATATATATATCAATGTCATGAATAGTTGGTTCTCAGGTTCTCAAAATACATATATACACCGCTTGACTTTCAAGGTCAGCAGGACTGACTTCGAGATTCAAATTTGATAAAATTTTGAATTCTTGAGAAAATTTTCACAGCAATGTGTTAAACTTATATACAAATTGTTTAAACGGAAGCATGTTAACGTCAAATTTAAAACAAAATGAGTATCAAATTCACATTTGGAAATTAGTTGGTTTGACTTCAAAAAGTCAATGTGTAAATCTAAGAAAAATGTATGAATTACAATGTGTATTGAGTTGGAACCTATATATACACATGTATACATACACAGACACACAGTTTGACTTTCAAGGTCAGCAGAACTGATTTCAAGATTCAAGTTTGATACAATTTTTTTGAACGATCGACAAAACTTCAGCAGAAACGTTAAACGTATATGCAAATCATTTGAATGGAAGTATATTAATGTCGAAATTTAAACAAAATCCATAACAAAATCACATTTGGAAATTAGTTGGTTTGACCTCAAAAGGTCAACGTGTATATCTAAGAACCAGAAGAACAAGGAAGTTCTTTACCTGAATTACAAAGTTTCGCCTTTCGCAGTCCCAGAACATGTTAACCGTCCAATTCGTCTTTGACCTGATCTTATCCCGCACTGTGGAAAAACTAATCTGATCTCTTGAAGTGAAGCGGTCAACTTCGTTGAACCAAAGACAAGTAAAGAGATTGGAGATGGGAACATGTTCTCTAATTACCACACATCCTTCGGGCACATCTGCCATAATTCAACCAGATTAAATTATCCCGTCAACAAATCCAAGCTCGGAAATCAATAAAAGACGACCCTGGTGCACCAAGGCTCCTTCTCTTTGCAATGAACTCACAAGAATAACAAACAAAACCAAACTAACAAAGTATATCCACTCGGAGGAGGGGTCTGGGGGTAGTATGTATGCAGATCTGACCTCTATCCATATAGTAGAGCAATACACAAGAATTATGGATCGAATCGAACCAAACCAAACCAACTTAGTAGAGGTGAGTAGAACAATCAACAAGAATTGTGAATTGAGTCAAACAAAACTAAGGGGCCGTTTACTAAACACTTACTTGGTAAGTGCTTACCAGATAAATTTCCTCATCGGATGAACATGAGAAGGGCCAAGAATCTTACCGGGTAAGAGCGATGAGAAGGATGGAGAGTCTTACCCGGTAAGTGAGGATGACGACTTTTACCCAGGTAAGCGCTTACCCAGTAAATTGTTGCATTCGATATGTTTTGATATATACTAAAATCTTACGCATCAAAATAAATCATAGTATTGACTCCTATCGGTAAGCGCTTACCGGGTAAGCAATTGGGTAAACGGCCCCTAACCAATATATCCCACTTAGAGGCGGGGTCTACGGGGGGATGCACGTAGACATGACCTCTAAGAGTAGTGCAATCGACAAGAATTATGAACCAAATCAAACCAAACTAACCCAATGTATTCCACTTGGAGGTGAGGCCTGGGGGTGGGATGTACACAGACCTGACCTCTGCTAGCGCAAGCAAAAAGAATTATGAACCGAATCAAACCAAATTAACCCGATATGTCCCACTTGGAAGTAGGGTCTGAGGTGGGATGTACGCAAACCTGACCTGCTACTCCAAAGAGTAGTGCAACCAGATCAAACCAAACTAACCAAATATATCCCACTCGGAGGTGAGGCCTGGGGGGCCAACTAACAAAATATATCCCACTTGGAGGTGAGGCCTGGGGGTGGGATGTACGCAGACCTGACCTTTGGTAGCGAAAGCAACAAGAATTATGAACTGAATCAAACTAAAGTAACCTAATATATCCCGCTTGGAGGTGGGGCATGGGGGTGTCATGTACGCATAACTGACCTGCTACTCCAAAGAACGCAAACAACAAAAATTATGAACCATAGCAAACTAAACCAACCCAATATATCAAGAGGGCGTTATTGCTCCTTTTTTTATTTAGTAGAATTTACTTACATAGTGATGAGGCCTGGGGGGTAGGATGTACAGACCTGACATGCTACTCCAAAGAGTAGCACAAGCAACAAGAATTATGAACCGAATCAAACCAAACTAACCCAATATATCCCACTTGGAGGTGAGGCTTGGGGCTGGGTATGCTTGCGCAAGCAACAAGAATTATGAACCGAATCAAACCAAACTAACCCAATATATCCTGCTTGGAGGTGGGTTATGGGGGGTGGGATGTAAGCAGAACTGCCTCTACTCCAAAGAGTAGAGCAATTAACAAGAATTAAGAGGATTAAATATTAAACTATATTTTAAATACTTAAATAAAATGTCCTACCACTTCTAATAGGAAGCTTGGCCTCAGAATATGGTGTTAAACCCTCCTTTCTATAAAAGTCAATCTGGAAGTCAATGGAGGCATTGTCATACTTTGCAGCCGCCTTATTAGCTTCGGCTTCTACAAACACGTCAAAGCGCTTATAATGCCTAGATATTGCAAAACTAGCATTCTCCCTCCACAAAAACCTGAAATCGATAAGAGCAAAAAATTGCAAGTAAGCATAGTTCATGGTATGCTACAAAAAATTGGAGCTACTTTGATGATGCTAATCGAAGTTGTCTCCGTTCTTTGAGTTCTAACACCATCACTACGGTTTACAAAATTCTAATGACATTGCTTCTATCAACAAGATTCTCATACTTTATCGTTATTGAAAGGGTATTTTAGACATTTGACTAGTAGTGACAATTGTTTTGGGACGTAGATACTAGTGTAGGTTATACCACATCCTGCAACTATTACAAATTTAAGAGATGAAAAGGCGAAAGTCCAAAAACTAGAAAAATAGATAAAGGAAAAGATGCAATACGAGGGCCAATGATTCCAAAGGGAATGCATGTATTATAGCAATGCATTAGATAACCTTTCAAGGATTTGATAAGGGTCAACGATAAGCTTAAGTTTCCCATCCATCCATATAGAGTATCGAGCATTCGGGAAAAGCCTGTGTAGTAGAAGCTTTGGAACCTGCCACAATTCGGTAAAAAATTGTCATGCACTAACTTTTGGGAAATAGTTAGTTCAACCTCCAATTGACGAAAAAGATACAAGGTTAGAATGGATTTCTATTATGGGATTAAACAGTAACCAAACAAACCCAGTATACCCCACATGGATCCATATGCAGACTGACCTTTACCTCAGGTACTAAAAAGTAATTGTTTGTACCAAATAAAAACACCACCTTTTTTTGCAAATTTCAAGCCAAAGTTATCTCCTTGCCTTTTAGAAACCAATACAGAATATTAATAAGCATTGATTTTCATCCACAAGATTCCACATATGTTATCACAAGTGAAGAATGGACACCCGCATCAAGTAAATGGGACCTATGATCCCATTACTTTTTTCACGATATAAATGGGATCCACAAAATAGCAAAGCCGAATAGACTCCACCTTTGAGGGTGTCCTGCATTTATTTTCTGCTTTCTCAAACTACAAAGATACCTACCTAATCATAATTAAAAACTACCCTTCAACATTAATGACTAAGGGCCTGCTTTTTAGCAGCTTAATGGGACTACCAACTTATTCAGTGAGCTGTACATGATTGTTTGGTAGTGGCTTAATGATATAGAAACTGACTTATTCAATAAGCTTCTAGGAGGGAGCTTTATGCAGAATGCCAAGTTTTTTTTTCCAAACCTACCCCTCCCAGTTAAAAAATACGCACCTTCCATCTATGAAAAAAATCCTCCAAAACAAAAACCTTCCTAATCCATACAGACAGATTAATCCACATAGTCAACTTTATCCATACAGGACTTAATGAAAAACCAACCAAACAGCCCCTAATGCACTCATAAGCGTCCCATAGTCCTTACAGAAGTGTACCCAATACCCACTACCTTGTTAACATTGATTTGCCATATTGATATAAATCTATACAGATTTTACATAACAATTACAAATAGGGTGTTCAAAATGTAAATTTTAGAAGTGCTAGGCTTAAGTATGGTCCAGATAAAATTAATCAGCAACATAGGTAGTCCAAATAAACTTTGACAAGAAGAGATCCATAAAAAGGACAGGAATTTGTGTAATCATATGATGGTAGCCAAATGGTCATGTAATCAAGCTCATACTTGGGTTTTCCTTAATCAGGGTCAAGCTTAAGCCTTAGAAACCTTTTTGATCTCAAGACGAACTTGCTCGGAGAGTCGGATTACAACACAACCCAATATGTGCCTTTCATTTATCATCAAGACCCCAAGTAAAACCGAAGGGCAAATTCTACAGGGTAGCCATCAGACCAACTATGTTGTAGGGGTCGGAATATTGGGCGATAAGGAAAGCCCATGAGAGGAATTGGAAGTTGCATAAATGAGAATGCTTTAGATGGACCATATTGGACATAATAACAAATGAGATCTTCCAAACGTAGTTGGGAGTTGCACCTATAACGGGTAAGTTGAGGGAGGACAAGTTTGCAAGATAAAGCATATAAAGAAAATATCGATAGCAATGATTTGATCCACAAGATTCTCTTAGTTTGTTCATTAAACTCTATATTGAGAGGGAGGGAGTGACCATATAAACAACCTATGTAATATCAGTTATTTACCTTCCCATTTCGCCTTGGGTCAGTGTATGGCAGGTTGTAGATAACAACAATATTCCACAATCCCATCTTCTTGCTATAATCCAGATGACTTGAATTCCTCATAAACTTTTCTGTTTCTTCATCAATAAACATGAAAAAACAGACATTTTTCTTTGCAGTTTCGCTAATGTTCACTGGTTGTTGAATCAAATCATAGGCTCCTGTACAACTTAATTCATTAGAAACACTTGTGATTCAAAAGTGCATATATATATATACATACATACACACAACATGCACACACACATATAGGGGAAGGTTCAGATAGGAACCTGAAACTGATTAGGAACCACCCACAATGCTACACTTGGCATATTCATGAGGAAAATCGGCGTGTTATTCATTATGAACGTTGTAACATATTCATCCTGAAGAGGGACATGTGGCACGTTGTGGGCAGTTCCCGGATCCTAATTAATTTTGGTCCCTCTCTCTCTCTATATATATATATATATGTACATATATACAAACACACATATTAATGTAGAATAATACCAAATATTGCAGATGCAACCACCACTCCATGACACGCATCCATCTGAAGAAGATCTGAATCATCAATATCAAATCCTGACTTGCGCCCAGGCCTGTCTCCTCTGACAAATCTTTTGGTGTGATTATCAACCAACCAAAAAATGGTTAGTGAGGATGAAACAGAAACAATGAAACAACCCCCATAAAATTTTGAAGAAAATCATACCCACAATGCACGGCCATCGACTCTTTTATATCATAAGATTCAGATCTCTGCTTTATAGAAGGATATCCACCAAAATCTGACCCTCCAAATTCACTTTTAGTTAAACTCTCTTCATGGATGTAGGTTAGATTATGAAGCACAGGAGAAAATGATGGCGCTTTTGGCATTAAAGCAATAGCATCTTCCACGGGGAGGTAACACACCGGACACGCTGAAACATAGGAAAGATTCATAAAAACTGACAGTTAGTAAAGAAGAATTTTTTCATGATGAAAAAGAAAATGGAAATCGAATTATAGTGAAGTAGCAGCAAAATGAACTTACGACGAGGCCCAGTTTTTTTCTTGTCTGCTGGTGGAGGTGGCATTCTAAAGGATTCACAAGGATTTCCAGGAGGAAGAGTGTATCCTGTGAAATAAACCGGAGGAGGAGGAGGGTGGGCTTCAACCCTGTTATCATCATTCAATGTAATCTTCATTTGATCGTTTACTAAAGCAGAATTGAACTCCTGAACTCTTTCTTCATCAATACTTGGTGAATATCCAGAAAATCTTACAAGTGAACTGTTCTTCTGGTTAATTTCACCTTCAAAAAGGCCCAAAGACGAACTAATAATTGATAAGAAAATGAACAGATTTATCAACATCATATTTCTAAATTCTTTAGTTATAGATTCTAATGACAAGATTCACAAAGATCAATTAGTGTTGATGCAGGAAAACAGTGTGAATGGATTTTTTGTTGCTTACATACCACATTGCCTGTTTGTTAGTAGCTTAACGAGCTTAATGGGACTCCCAGCTTATTCGGTCAGCTATACATAATTGTTTGGTAGTGGCTTCTTTAGTAAGTTTCTAGGGGAGCTTTATGCAAAAAGCCAAGTTTTTCTCCAAACCTTCCCCTCCCAATTGAAAAACATGTTCCTTCCATCTACGAAAATCCTCTAACAAACAAAAATACAGACAGATTAATCCACACAGACAGCTTTTATCCATACCTGACTTAAAACAACTACTCATTATTGCAAACTATAATGCTTTTTCTTGGCATTTCACAAGAACAATGGTTAGTTGCAACGAGAAGTCAAGTTTGATAGTCCAAAAAGCTGTTCACTTAAAAGGAAAAATCCATACAAACGAACCCACAAAAGGAAAATGGTGAAAGAGAATAGTACCACCTTTCCCGTTCAAGATGCACAATTAGTGTAGATATAAGATCTACCGAATTCTAGTTCCTTGAACTAATTAACTTCTTGCTCTTATGTCCTTATATTCCAATCAACCTAACCTTCAATAAGCAAAATGGAAAAAATCTCACTTGTCCATTTGAGTAAAAGTTTAAACTTACATCCAGTTTACGTAACTTCATCATATTATCACTCCATTCCTAGTCAACAAAATGCCGTAAAGATGAGAAAGGAGGTTGACAACAGAATTCCAGAATCTAACTTGAGTTGCAATCAAAATGCTTTAACCATTAAAAATAGTAATCAATAACAAACACCTAGAAGTTAACTTCAGCTTTACTCAAACACAATCCTCTAGATATCGATAAAAACAAATTTCAACAAAAGCCCAGACACAGAATTCAATTACAGGTTTCCCATGAAAACAAATTCAAGAAACCATCATAAATACCATATTAGAGTGGAGTGGGGTTTTCATCTCGAATAGACATGATGACAACAAGTCTTTTATCCCGAATGGAGCATATAATGTCATAAAATTGCTGTAGATATTCTTAAAACCAAATTATTAGAGCAAGAGACTACATTGAGCTAGAAATAGAATGAAAGGAAAAGGTGGTATGATCCCCAAAATGAATCATAAACAAGCCCTAGAAACTAAATTGAGCTACAAAACGTAATACCAATGAATGGATTCAGCAAATTTCATTGATAAGCAAATTGAATTGAGATTAGATCCAATAAAACACATGAGAGCACCTATCAAATTGAAGTTTGAACAAATGTAACGACTCAAATTTGAGCAGTATTAAACAGATTATATCAATTGGGGGGGAAATGAAAAGCAGACCTTTGGCAATATAAAGTATCCATAACATAGCTGCGGTGGAAGCAATAGACAAGAGCAGCATTCCAACCTTCTTTCGAGGTGCGAATTTGAAGATCCACATGAACGCATTATCCTTCTCTTTATTAATAAACGTCTTCGAAGCTTTCTTAGAAGGAACTTGTGTTGTTGATTGATTCATTTGTTGCTGAAATCCAACTCCTCCGTTTTGAAACTGTGGTTGATTTTGTTGTAAACTCCCATTACTTGATGATCGTACCACCACTGAACCTAAATTCCCAACACTTGATGCTCGTGAACCCATTGAACCACTCGTCATTATATTCTTCTTCCTCAAATTTCCTCTAATCTCTCATTCACCCGATTCGCTCAATGCGTGGGCGAAACCAGAGAACAAGATGATAACTTCATCGTGAAATTCTCGACCCTTTTTTCCTGATTTAACGTAACGAAAGAAAACAATAGACATTACCTCATGCAGCAACCTTCAGATTTTGTCGTGCAGATCTAGAGGTTTCATTCGGATTTTCGAGATTTCAGGTTTTTGAGAAGCAATCTGGATTGGACATTATGAGTGGTATGGTGGAAATCTGAATTGGGTTCATTGTTAGATTGAAGAAAGAGGGAGTAACAGTTAGTATGGTTGAGGAGATATGAAGAACAACAACAACAAGAAGAAGGATGGGTAGAGCTCCATTAGAGCAATTTTCTTTAAGAGAATTTTAAGCTTTTTTTTTGTTATTTATTGAATTCTTTAAAAAACATTTTACATAAACTCTTAAAAATCATTTTAATATATAAATTCAATATTACTAGTAAATTATGCTAAGTACAACTTATTAAAATTGGATGTTTAAATTCGTATAAATAACTGTAAATAAATATAATCAAATACTAGATAAACATTTCATTTTAAATATAAAAAAACTTAAAATATAATTAGGATAATTATTAACTTCTAATAAATTTACAAAAAAGTTGTATTATTAAACTAAAAGTAGATTACTTTCTTATTAAATCTAAATTAAGTTATAATTACAAAACTTGAATTAAACAAATTACACAAAAACGAGAATTTTTGAATAGTTAATTTGATATTGATATCGATATATATTTTTTTCAAAATTTTACGAGATCTTCAAGTTTATATTTTATTGAAACATAAAAATATTATCGTTTTCTCAAAATCACATAAAACTGTATGATAACATCGATAAAAATCAAATAATAAAACAAAACATTAAAATAGAGATGTATCTCGCTGCATTACGCGACTACCTTTCTAATATAATAAAAATACATATAGTTATTACACTTTTTAATTAACTAAATATTTTTTTTTTAATAACAGGAACAATTATGAATTTTCCTTATGTTATGTTCTCGAATTTAAGAAGAAAAAGACCAGAAAATTTGTTATTTGTGTTCTTGAAAGCAAATGAAAAGAAAAAGAAATGTAATGAAAGAAGACAAAGTTTCATGGTTTTTAGCAATATAGGAAGGAAAAAAGGAGATGTTAACTTTAAAAATACAGTCTAAGGGGGATGTTTGCCAATTGTTGAATGGTTGGTGCAGAATGATTAAGAGGCTCTCATGATATAGTGTAAAATGAAATATAATTGTTTGTTAATTGTGTACAATGAAATTAGGGCTCTTAATGGTTAAGAGACATCCATGATACAAAATCATTCAGAGGGTTTTAGAACCATTAAGAGATAGACTTTTTTCTTGCCAAACAATATTAACCTATTAACGATTCAGGGGTTACCTCTTAATGAAACTATTAAGAAGTAAACAAACAACCCCTAATTTATTTTATAGCGGACTGTAATTGATTGGAAGAAACTAAATTTTTTAAATACCTTTAATTTTTTTTTCGTTTCATTCTCTTTCCTCTCATATTTGGCAGTTAAGTTTTGAGTGGGAAATCAAGGTTCTGGTTGGCATGAAGCATGACGTGGTGGCGAGATCAAACTTCAAGTCGTACGAGTTATGGCGATGTCATGTCGTTTTTCAAGGTGTGGCTTAAAACGACAAATTTGTATATATATATATATATATATATATATATACACACACACACACATACACTAGAAGGGTATTCACGCAATGCAGCGAGATAGATCTCGATTTTAATGTTTTATTTTATTTTTTGTCGCTATCGATGTTATAATACGATTTTATGTGTTTTTAAGAAAGCGATAACGATTTTATTTTTGAATAAAATATAAATTTGAAGATATCATAAAAATATGAATTTTTTTTATATCAAAGTTAGTATCAAATTGACTATTTAAAAGCTCTCATTTTTTGTGTAATTTCTTTAATTTAATTTTTTTATAATTTAATTTAAGTTTAATAACAAAGTAATTTATTTTTGGTTTAATAATATAACATTTTATAAAGATAATTAATTAAGTATTTCGTTAAAACTTAATGATTATCCTAATTATATTTTAGGTTTTTTATATTTAGAATGAGATGTTTATCATGTATTTGATTATGTTTATCTGCAGTTAGTTACACGAATTCAGACATGAAGCTTTAATAAGTTGTACTTACGTAAAATCTACTTGTAATCTTGAATTTTAAGTAACATACATCAATAAACAGTACTTTGTATATAAAATATAGTTTGTAAGAGTTTTTGTCGAATTTTTATAATATAATATATATATATATATATATATATATATATATATATATATACATACACAGTGTGTTGAATAATAATGATTAACAAATTAAATTTATACAAAACTATAAATAAAAAATACAGTAGTAAATATTTATTAAATTCATTGTAATTTAATAAGCCATAAACTATATATAAGAAAAGAAAAGAAAGAAAGAAGCTTATTCATGTCTTAACGCGTCATACAGCAAGCTACACCATAGACTTTAATGTGGCGGCAATGCCATGCCTCGACGTTATGGAGTGTAACACCCTAAAGCAACATGTTGACTCAATAACTTCGAATCTAACTTAAGGTCATGGTGAAAGTTATTGGTAGCCCAAAACTTAAGACTTATAAGGAACTCATAAATCCCATTTTATATCCATGTGAGACGAATTGTTATATGCAGTGTCATAACGTCGCCATAATGCGTTTTTTAGAACCTTTGGTCCTTGGCTAAAAAAGAAGATAAGGTAGATTTCTCCAAATTTCAAATTTTTTTCTAAGACTTAATATTGACACGAGAGATATATTAATACAATTGTTTCCACCAATGAGGTTAAATCTGTTTTAAGTATCGTAAAGTTTTTTCTAATACTGTATTTGAGATGATAAATAAAATATTTTAATAATATAACTAATACTGGAATTGCTAAAACAGAATAGTTGTTAGAGTTGAATGTAATTTTTTTTTTAGAAATTTTGATTTTAGAAACTCTATTAATTTTTTTTTAATATAACATAGTTGTTGAAGATGTTCTTATTTTGAGAGAAACTAAGGCCTTGTTTGTTTTTTCATTTTCGGTTCTTAATTACCACTTATGTCATACTCGTTCAGACATTTTGTAATTTAGACTTTTTTTTTCAGAGTCTTTTTTCACTTAATAGAGTCTGAATAAATAAGAGGTAAACTAATATATTAATTTCTCATATTTCCCCTTTTTCTTGATTCTCTTTGGCTACTGCTTCTTACCCTCTCTCTCTCTCTCTCTCTCTCTCTATATATATATATATATATATATATATATATATAGTTTCTGTACGTATAAGTTAGCTTAGAAGATTAATGTGAAACAAGGAATTCTATCGACGATCTATCTTCTATCAAAAGTATTGATCTTTTCATAAACAAACTGGTGGCATTCCCGATAGTATCGGAAGTCTGAAAGGTATCCAAAAGGTTCTTACTATGTTCCATCTATTAAGCAAATGTTGAGATGAATTTTGGAAATGAAAATTTTATGAAAATCAAGAGAATTTTGCAAAATGTTTGCACTTGATTTTACAAAAACAAACTATTGATTAAGATATTAGACATTAGACATTTGTCAGTTTACAAAAACAGTTTTAGACTTCAGCAACACCTCTTATTAATCAGGAGTGAAATAAGACTTTAAAGTTCAGCACCTTTTAGAAAACAAACACCACCTAAATATAAATGTGAATACTTAATTTGCAGTGGATGTAGTATTCATTTATAAAATTCATCAATTTAGTTATGTTCTTACATAATTCAGTACTCATACAGCTGTAGACAAGAAGTGTTGTACATATATAAGGGTGTTAAAATCAATCGTTGGACCGTAAAAACTATCAAACCACCCCAAACTAGACTCTTTTAGGTGGTAAGTTAAAAAAAAAAAAACCGATATACAGGCACGTAAGTTAAAAGAGAAAGAGCCATGGGAATTATATCGATTGCGATATACTAAAAAGGTACTCGCGCAATGCAGTGAGATAAATCTTGATTTTAATATTTCATTTTATTCTTTATCTCAGTCGATGTTAGTATGGTCTTAGATGATTTTGAAAAAAAACGATAATGTTTTTATTTTTGAATAAAATATAAATTTGAAGATACCGTAAAATTTTGACAAAGATATATCGATACTAGTATCAAATTAACTACTTAAAATTCTTATTTTTTTGTGTACCTTTTTAATTCAATATTTTTTATTATAATTTAATTTAGATTGGAAGTAGTTTATATTTGGTTTAATAATATAATTTTCTTATAAAGATAATAATTAATTATTTTATTATAATTCAATAATTATCCTAATTATATTTTAGATTTTTTATATCTAAAATTGAGATGTTTATTCTCTATTGATTATCTTTATTCACAGTTAGTTACACGAATTCAAACACGGAGCTTTAATAAGTTGTACTTATGCATAATTTACTTGTAATCTTGAATTTTAAGTAATATACATCAATATACAGTACTTCATGCATAAAAATTGGTTTTTAAGAGTTTTTGTCAAATACCTTATAATATAGTGTACATATATAAATATATATGATTAAAAAATTAATTAAATTAAATAATATTAGATTTTTTTTAAAAGAACATAATTTTTGCGCACCTGGTTACAAAATAAAATGAAAAAACCCGTATCGATGTGGGTATTAAATTAAAGGGAATAAAATGTCCGTTTTTATATAAAATTTAATTATCTTGAAAAGAAAATGAAAAAAAGTAACTGTAAAATCTAAACCCAGTTTTACCTCCTAAACTATTTAATTTATTCGTAATTATTTATTTAATCATTTTCTTATTTACAAAAAAACCATATTGTTTTTTCGGTCTTTTATTCGATAAATTAGACGTATTAAATCTATTGTAACCTTTTTACAAATGGAAATTATTCAAAATAACCATTTTATACACTGGACATTAAAAAAAATGACCACTTTTCTGAGTTTTTTCATAGAATGACCACCAAGTTTTGGATCACTACAATTTTATAGAGAATACTATAATATTTATATATGCACTACATTTGGTTCTAAAAAAGACAAAATAGTAATGAAAATTGTCTCAGATGTCTCGTTAAATCGTCATTGATGTGTTAAATCGTTGTGTTATAAGTTGTCTTCACTAGAAAACGGAATAGAGGTCAAAATTACCCCATGATTTGGACAAAATGAGGGTGATTTCATATATATCAGATACAATATCTTATTTTTGTTCCCCAAATGGTATACATGTGAGACTCATCCGTACCTTATAGTCAAAATCACCCTAAAATAGTCAAATTCGCCCTACAGGGGCAATTTTGGTGATCATTTTATGAAAAATCTCAGAAAAATAGTCATTTTGTTGAAATAGTCATTTGGGGTAATTTCCCTTTTACAAATGATATAAAGAATAAACCATGTTTTTAGTCCCTGTGATTTGTTAAAATTTACTATTTTCGTCCTTGTACTTTCCAAATTATAGTTTTAGTTTCTATAATTTATAATTCATTGATTTCTTTAATAAAGAATACTACAATATTTATACATGTATTACATTTGGTTCTAAAAAAGACAAAATACTAATGAAAATTGCCCCCGATCAGTGATGTGTAGAATCATTGCGTCATAAGTTGTCTTCACTAGAAGACGGAATAGAGGTCAAAATCACCCCATGATTTGGACAAAATAAGAGCGATTTCATATATATCATATACAATATCTGATTTTTATTCCCCAAATGGTATACATGTGGGATTCATCCGTACCTTATAATCAAAATCACCCTAAAATCGACGTACAGGGGCAATTTTGGTGGTCATTTTGTAAAAAAATATCTGAAAAGTGATCATCTGTTTTAACGTACCGTGTATAAAATGATCATTTGGGGTAATTTCCCTTTTACAAATGATATAAAAAGTAAACCATGTTTTTAGTCCCTGTGGTTTGTTAAAATTTACTATTTTTGTCCTTGTACTTTCCAAATTATAGTTTTAGTTTCTATAATTTATAATTCATCGTTTTTTTTATTAACCTGGATATCCAACCCGTTATGCGAGCCGACTAATCCTAGGGCGACCACCTGCTTTGTAGATAGCCCAGAGTCACGACATTTGACCCTCCGTGGTCACAAGGGGATTTGTATTCCTCCTAAGATTTTAACATGAGACCTTCTGGTACTTTTGACATTTAAAGGCCAAGCTCAAACCAACCAGACACCACCCTTGTGGTTTCGTCTTTTTTTATCCTTATGATTTACAGCTCATTACGGTTTTTGTACCTCATACTCAACACTAAACTACTAAGCAGTTAGTCTCAAAAATGAAAACGACAATAAATTGCAAATCACAAAAGATGAAAAATTGTAATTTCAAAAAAAAAGTCATAATTTTTGAGAAACCATGGGAACGAAAATTGTAGTTTATTCTAATACAAATTTTCTAACTAATGCCTCTGATGTGTAGCTCAATTGACAAAAGAACGGATGACCTTATCCAAATACAAGACAGGTCTAATGTTCGCTCTCGGACCCTCTGGCTAGCCTTAACCGCTGAGTGGATCAAAAAACGCCCTCTCAATGTCCTTAAAGACAGGTTCTATACGAAACCGGCAACTTTTTGCCCGAATAAACCTCCTAATTAACATTTGGAGTGGGTTACAGAGTACAGACAATATTGTGAATATTGGGCCTGGCTGAATGAATTTTTAGTGTTGCATGAAAAAATTGGGCCCAATAAGTAGAAGTCATAGTATTAAGTACTAAGTACTCCTTAATTAAACATACTTATAAATATATATATATATATATATATATATATATATATATTTTTTTTTTTTTGTTACCATATGTAGGGCTGTAAACGAATCGAACGTTCAGCAAACCGTTCGACGAGAAGTTCGTTTATTTAATAAATGAACGGACATGAACAATTTTTTTTGYTCGTTTAGTTAAACGAACGAACATGAACAAGAGTCTCGTTCGTTCATTTACCGTTCGTTTGTTTATTTACTTTGAATTTAAATAATATTTGTTTATGTTTGTTTACGTTCGTTCAACGAACAAACATAAACGAACATGAACACACCTAATTTCTAAACGAATGAACACGAACACAAAGATTTTCGTTCGTTTACGGTTCGTGTTCGTTCGATTAAGTTAAACGAACGAACATGAACAAACATCCGTTCGTGTTCGTTCGGTTCGTTTACAACGCTAATCACATGCACCGATGTTTTAACCAAGCCTAGAACTGTAAGCAAGTAAGGTTTTAAATTACAGATTTAATAGTGGATCGAACTCGATTCAATCGCTTGATAAGTCATCTCGATGTTCCGAGAGTTTAAAAAGTATAAAAATACACACTGAAACGATATTCGATAAATCAAACTCGATTCAAATTCTACATGAATATACAGATTCATAGGATCGGAATAGTTGGATACAGTCTGATTCAGTCTCGTATTTGTATTTGAATTCAATACAGTTTGACTTGATAAAACTCGAAAAATTCAAAAAAATATACTGATTAAACTCAAAAAATACGATAAAATATACTAATCAAACTCCAGATATTAAGTAAAGTATACAAATCAAATACTGAATTTTAAATTTAGAATGATCAATCGAAAAGCAGACTCGAAACTGTAGGAAGTCCTCATCATTTGATCGTAACATGGATTGGTCCAAAATGTTATACATTTAATTCTATAAGTAATCAAATGGCAGAAATTCCACGAATCTCTTGGTGGATAAGTCCAACGACTCAGCAACAGTGTGGAATAAAAGCACGAGATGACCACTTGTGGTCATTATAGCAGTTCCTTTCGATCCTAGTAAATGTTCGAAAAAACCTGCTATGGAATTACTGATAAATCTTATCAGTACAATAGATTTCATTTTAAAATTATTTATCCTTAATTCGATCCAACGTGCAAAACCTTATCAGCCCGTGAGATGAGCCTCAATCCCTGAAGATTTCGAATTATTATGTTTGGTTAATTATCGTCATATAATTACTATAACTATTAAAATAACATAAGAATTATGCAGTTGGAAAATATAAAAGTAAATCGAGAGTTTAACGATCGTTAATTCATTAGGAAAACATAACTGCGTAATCGACAACGTTTGATTTCACACGGGAAGTTTTTTACCGGTGTTGCTATATACACTCTTATTTATGTCAGAATCAGGTTAAATTGTGCACTGAAAATGTAATAAGTAAGAGAATCTTCAACAACTATCGTATAATAGAAATTTTGGTAATCTATAAGAGTTTTGTGCTCCAACAGCTATGTTATATTGTATGGTAAAAAGAGAAAAAAATACAAGAAAAAGTATGAAAATCTCTAAATATAATTGTGGCCGATAGTGACTAAGATCGGTGGTGGTTCAAAACGATTGTGGTTAACAGTGGTTCAGATCGGTGGTGGTTGACGGTGGTTAAGAACTGTGATGGTCGACAGTGGGTTAGAACGGTGGTGCTCGGTGATGGTTCAGTTGGAGACCATATGGGCCTGGGTAAATCAGGTATGGAAGATGAGGATAATTTTGTCTTTTTGAGGAAAACGAGATGAAATAAAATTGAATTCCTAATCAATTGTGATGGAATGACTAAGGGGCCGTTTACCAAACACTTACCAGGTACGTGCTTACCGGTAAAATTTAACACTATTATTTATTTACTGGGTAAGATTTTAGTCCACCAAACGACATTGTATGCAACAATTTATCCGGTAAGCGCTTATTGTGGTAAGAGTCGTCGCCCTCACTTACCAGGGTAAGACTCATGGTACTTGTCTCGTTTTTACCGGGTAAGATTCTTGGTACTTACCATATTCATCCGGTGAGGTAACATGTCTTGGTAAGCCCTTACTCGGATAAGTGTTTGGTAAACAACCCTTAAATCAATGAATAATGGAATGTGTGAAATTCAATTCCATTCCATAAGTACCAAACGCCTGAGTGGAATTTGGTCAACGGAATTAATAATCCAATTCATTCAGATTCCATCGGAATCCTGCAAACCAAACGTCCTTTAAAACTTAATATAGAAAAGAGAAATAGTATTTCAATTTTCCCCCACCAATAAGAGTTATTGAAAATAAATGTATAAAAGTGATAAATAATATTTTATTAAAATTATTAAATATTTAATAATATAATTAATGTTATAGTTGCTAAAATACAGTAATTGTTGAAGTTGGATATATTTTTTTTAGAGATTTTGATTTTTCATATTGTATTTAAAAAAAAAAACTGAACATGCTTTAAATCCTGATATTGATGTGTGAGAGGAGGAAATCAATACGTATAAATATTGTAACACTCTCATTTTCACCATGAGTTGTGTCACGTCATTCTCATTAAATAACAATAAATAACCCCAAAATATAGTGGCTAATAAAGCCTTATTACATCGAAAGTCTTACAAATTCAATTAAAACCGTCCCGTACCGGGTTACATTACAAAATGAGTTTAATCATAAACCTAAACATCCGAAATATAATAATATAATTATCTAGGAGAGAACCTCACTCTTGTCCACCCTTGAACCTCTTGCACCTGAGATGCATACTAATAGTCAGCTTTATAAAGCTCGGTGAGTTCATGGTTTTTGTGCACAATCATACACACCTCATCATGCATAAAACAAACAATGCCTCAAATAAAATAATATGCACATTCGTTTCAACCCTTTTTAAATAATAATGAGATCTCTTAATTTTCCGTCGGATTAAGGTCTTACCGTCATCAGCACTTCCTCGGGTTACACGGCTATCCTTTGTCCGGTCACCCATCCCTAGGATGTGCCATCCCTCATGACTTTTGACCCCTTCCTATACCCGACAAAAATATTACCACATCTTTAACATGCTAATTAATGTTTAAAAACACGCAAACAAATAGCATGCAACCCACAATAATAATTCATATACATGTAATAAACTCATAAACATGTACATAAAACTATCGTAATGCTCAAATAATTTGTACATAAGCATGTATCTCAGTTAAAGTCTCATGAAGACTCACCTGAATAGCTCCGCTTAGCTAAACTTTGTCCCTGAGTAATATCCTATAACATGTAATTATATTTCAATAATTAGAATATTGACTTTTCCCCAAAAAGTCAACCCGAAAATCAAATGGGTCAACTTTAGGGTGGGCATAGTCAACGAGTACACCCCAAGCATATCTTGTCGTCATATACCCCCTCCCCAAATGAATTTTTTTCACATCCAAAGTAAATTACGACGTATTAAACCCAACATTAACTATATACGATTCTCGTTATAAAAACTCCCGATCCCACCATTATCTAGTCACAACTCCTGAATTAAGTTAATAAACTATTTTTAATAATTTAAATATGAAAATCCAATTAATTGATAATCTTTACAATTGATGTCTAAATCTTAACCAACTTAATCAAAACATCCCGATTTATTTCGATTAATCCAAGTAAATAAATGAGGCTCAAATATCTTTCTAACAAATACCGATTTTATCAAAACAACTCGAGTCTAACCGAACTCGACTGAAACAAGTCGGCCATGGCTTAACTTGGTCTAGCGTCGGCCGGCTCAACTCAACGCCCGACCCAACCCGGTCGCACCCTTGGTGCGGCTATCGTGAACGATCTTCGGTTGAAATATTTTCCGATCGTTTTTCACCAAACTTTTTACAAAATCTTATATATAATAATAGTTCCAACTCGTATCCAATTTTATAGCCCCTACGGTTCAATATTAAACTCGTATTTTGAGTTTTTGTACCTGAATCTCATCGAGCCGCCACCACAGCAGCTTCTAGCCTAAACTGCTCGACGTACAAGTCACCATAGCCCACGAGACTTGTACCAACAGAAAGATACTTGAAAAACGAAACCAACCATATATTATACATCAATTTTGGTTTAGTATTTTACCTCCAATCGCCGTTTTTGTGCGGAATGACCCTATGCCGCTTCAAACTCGATATGCTCTCGTTTCTTGATGAAATCTCGAAATTCCAAAGACGTTTACTCTCTTACTCCCTTAGGAATGTCTCCACAATAATTCATCAGAAAATTCCAATTTATAAGCCTTTAAGTCGTCTCCAGAATAGAAAAAAACGTGATTTGGGAAATGATTTCCCAAATTTCAATAATTTCCAAATTAGTTTTCTACTTTTGGTAGAACTAGTCCCTGTTGTTTTTCTTTTTTCATTTTTATCCCAAATCAATTAAATTCAAAATGTTTCATTTTCTTTTTTATTGATTTTATTTATTGCAATAAAATCATATTTTTCGAGTATCGACACTTTAATCCCGTATGTCGTTTACTATTTAAATTTTAACCCTTAACATTTATTTATTTTACGAATCATTAATTTTTAGGGTGTTACAAATACATTCAACAGTATAAAACTGGTGCATTTAGCCCACCCTCTGTGAAACTCAAAGTATCATTTTGTAGTTAAAAAATGTTTAAAACCAAGTCGATATAAAATATCAGTATACCACCAAATTTGGTGTTATACTGTTCTGCAACACCAAACTGATATAAAAACTAATACTGGGTTAAAATGATCTGGTATTAATTCTGGTTTGAAACTCCCTTTAAGAGTTGCGTAACAACACTAAACTAAAGTTGATGGAATAAGATCGATAACAAAACTGGTACGAGAATTTAAGTCTATGGTAATAAAAAACGACAGCACATAACACTAGTTGGTCCAAAACCTAATCAGAACTCTCATATTGTTTTAGACGAGCGTTTCACGTATCATTCATTAAAAAACCGCCTAAAAAAGCAGGTTTATGCTGGCTGGGAATATTTGTTTACAAAAAGTAAAACTGAATACCAAAACAAGAATACTGATTTCCCATTGGTTTAATACAGTTCCAACTCAGGTCATTTATTGTACGGTAACGTATCGACTTTTACAGATTTTTCTTAATCATAATCTAAAAAATGGTTTATACCAAAATTTAAAGTGATTTTCAAAGTTGATTATTTTTGGTAATTTTAGTCTTTATTTATACTATATTATAAAACATTTGACAAAAACTCTTAAAAATCACTTTTTATACGTAAAATACTGTTTATTAATGCATATTACTTAAACCTTAAGATTACAAGTAGATTGTGCATAAATACAACTTATTAAAGCTCTATATCTGAATTCATGTAACTAACTGCTGATAAACATAATCAAATACAGAATAAACATCTCATTTTAAATGTAAAAAATCTAAAATATAATTAGGATAATCATTGAGTTCTAACAGAATACTTAATTATTATCTTTATAAAATATTATTAAATCAAAAATAAATTATTTCGTTATTTTAACTTAAATTAAATTTATAATAAAAAAATAAATTAGAAATTATTTAGAAAATGAGAAATTTTAAATAATTAGATTTAATATTAACATTGATATATATATTTTTTTCAAATTTTTATGATATATTTAAATTTATATTTTATTTAAAAATAAACTCATTATTGCTTTCTTAAAAACTAATAAAATAATATTATAATATCGACAGAGACAAATAATAAAATATAACATTAAAATCGAAACGTAATTCGTTGTAAGATATAATTTATTTATAAAACAGAACTATATTTATAAAATGAAAATAAAATAAAATAAAAAGGAAATTAATAATAATTTCCTTATCTTGAATTGATTTAACAAGGGTGGGCCATGCATTATTGGAAGCACGATTTCCCACATATTAATTATTGAATAAAAGCGTAAATAATATGTAATGTGACGTGTAACTATTTTGTCGTTTTTCACATTTATTTTCAAAATTAATTAATATAAAAGGTTTTAAAAAATCCAATCATTTGAATGATCAAGGGACTGTTTACTTGTGGTTTGATTAGGTTTATTGGTTTATCTGATTTATTCTTGCAGTTCATTTGAGTTGTTTACTTACGGTTTATTCGCACATAACATGACTTAATCGTACAGATAGAAAAGATGTTTTGTCCTTATTCAACCACAAAAATGACACTCATACCCCTTATTTAAAGCATCACCTCCTTCCCATATGAGACACCACATCTTCGGCTTCTTTATGATTTTTTGTTTTGATGTTCAAATAATTAATATTAGAGGGTAAATCGGTCATTTATGTTATTCAGACTGTTGGTTCAGATAAAAAAATAAACAACACCTATTTATCCAGACAGACAAATTTATCTATACATGACTTAATAAAAAATATGGTAAACAGCCTCTAAGCATTTAAATTTTTTTCAAAACTTTGTTTAAATGATTAATGTTTTTGAACTATTTTTTTGATAAAAAAATTATTGAACTTTAAAAAAAAAAAAAAGAGAAAATCACTTAATTTTTTCATTTTAATTGATTAAGTCCATAAATATTTTTTCAATAAATAAACTATTGCATTTTTAAAAACTGGTTCTGCATCCTCTTAATTCAAAAAGTTACGTTATTCAGCTAGTAAAAGTTCGCTAAGTTATTTATTTAAAAAAAACAGAGTTTTAATAATTTAAATTGTGAAAGTTTAGTGGTTTTTTCATTCAAATAAATCGTTTCGAGACTTAATCATTTAAAATAAGAAAGTTTAATGATTTTTCATTTAAAAAAAATAGTTTATGGACTAAACCATTTACGATGATTTTTTTTTGGGGTTTTTTAAACTTTTCTTTAATTAATTTATGTTGATTCTCTCTCTCAGTGATTTGATAATAATCTCTTTTCACTTATAGGTTATATTTATGTTTCTGTATTTTCAGTTCCAGCTATCTTCACTGAGTATGTTCAGTGATCGCTGAAGAACTTGCATTGTAAATCTATCAGAGACAACAATATTTCAAGAAAACAAGACTCACACCAAAGAACATTCAGCAAACATCGAAGACTAAAACTGAATATTAGAGACTGACGAGTACGTGATTAGAAGCGGTATTAAGTGATTACAAGTCTGTCTACATATGTGTGAAGACTGCTCAAGCTTCAGCGAATGATGATGAAACTTTCAGGTCATTCCAACATTCAGCGATCAAAGGAAGTTTGCTTAGCACGATTGTTGTTGTTTTGTCCTTATGCACACAAAGGACAAAACCCATACCCCTATGAAAGTTAGTATGATACGGAGCCGATTAGTCGACTCTTTGTCCACCAACTTTCAGTAAAGATGTCTGCTCATGAATAGTGCTTTTTGTACTATTCACTATAGCAAAAGACAAGTCTTCCTCTTAACGCTTGACACGCACTCTAACCCTACCATATTGCATTAAATGAACATTTAATGCACTGGTATAAATAGAAGTGTTTATTCTCCATGCAGAGTGCGCGCAACTCACTCTCTAACCCTAATTCTTACTTCAACCATTTTCTAGCTTAAGTAAAAGATATTCTTTACAACAACTTCTTTTCTTATATTTGCTAAGACTTTGTGTCTAACCAAAGATTGTTTAGATATGTTTTCATTACCTTATCTTTCCGCAAACAATCTTGTAAAATATGTATTGATATTCTCTATCAATATATATTTTAAATTTGAAAATACTGTGTTTGTATTCATCCCCCCCTTTTACAAACTGTTTTTCTTCTTGTAGACCCTTACAAGACCAACAATTTATATTTTAATTTTGGATGTTTCTAAATACTTCTACATATATTATATATGATTTTTAAAATAATTATAGTGATTAATTTATTAATCAAGTTTTATTCATACATTTATTATTGTACGTATTCTACTTTTGATAGATTTCATTCCAATTTATGGCAATCAAACGTATGATCAAATTTGATTTAATTTTATTCCAATTTATTTAATATAGTTGAACCCTAAAAGTTTCATATTTTACATTATTAAAACAAACATTTATAAAAAAAGGGATTCATTTAACATGCATAAGTGTTCATATAATCTACCCTTATCCGCGATTCGTGCCTCAGCTTCGGTTTTGCTCTAGCCTTTCAATTTATTTCTTAGGGACTGTTTACCTAAATGTTTATCCGGTAAGTGCTTACTGATAGGAGTCAACACTATAATTTATTTTGATGCATAAGATTTTTATACATCAAAACGTATCGAATGCAACAATTTACAGGGTAAACGCTTACATGGATAAGAGTCATCATCTTCACTTACTGGATAAAACTCTCCATCTTTCTCATCACTCTTACCCGGTAAGATTCTTGGCCTTGATCATGTTCATCCGATGAGAAAATTTATCGAATAAGCACCTACCAAATAAACATTTTGTAAACAGCCCCTTAGTTGCCTTAGATTTTAGTCTCTTTTGTTACGGGTGGTAGTTTCGTGCTTGTTTTTTTAGAGTGTTTGGATGTAGTTTTTTTGCTTCTTTTTACCTCTTCCTTTCTACATTCAACAGTTTTTCTTACTGTTTGGGCGGTTATTTATTTTGTTGTTTCTCATTCGTTGTACCTTTTTTATCTCAACAAAATATTGCCTTTCAAAAAAAAAAAAAAAACGAAAGATCGTAAGAAGAAAAGTTATGATGAGAAACATAAAAAGAGATCTGAACTCTTGATCACTATTAATCTCATGTCCACCTGTGAATTACGCTTTTAGAAGAGAATTTTGATCTGGTATATCTCATTGTATCTCATTATTGTTGACATTCAATTAGGATTGATGCAAATGTGAAAATCTTTTCTTACGCTTCTCATTATAACGAAACCCAACCCTTCAAATAAATTAATAAATAATAAAATAAATACATATAATCCTAAAAGTATAAGCATTTATTTTGAGACGAATACAAATGGGGATTGCTATTTGCATCATTTTAACGTTAAAAAAATCATGTCAAATCATTCATTGAGAATGTAAAAAGTGAGTTTGTTTGATGTTGATGTGCGTGAGAAGGAAATTACTAGCCGAAGCGCATTTAAGGTTGTTTGGTCGGTTTTCCATAAAAGCTGTATATGAATAAAGTTGCATGCGTGGATTAATCTGTCTGTATATATTGAAAAGTTTCTTTTGGCAGGATTTTTTCATATATGAAAAGAACATGTTTTTTAATTGTTAGAAACAAGTTTGACAAAAAAAAAAAAAAAAACTTTTCTTTCTGTATAAAGTTATCTTATAGAAACTTATTGAATAAGACATTTTTTATATCATTAAACCACTAGTATACATTAATGTATAAGTTATGGACTAAATTATGAGTTACATTAAAGTCATTAAATTACTTAGGCATGTGAATAGGGTGGGGACCTCAATCCCCGTCCCCAATTACTTATCTCTATCCCCGTTCCAGTCCCCATCCCCACCGGAGATTATAATCACATCTCCATCCACAACGGGAAACAGAGACTTTTTCCTGTTTATATAAGTTATTTTGAATTAAATATGTAAGAGACAATACATGTTTAAATCTCAAACATTTTCAATAAACCTAAAACCAAAATGAATTTAATTTAAAAGAAAAAAAAAACAACATCATATAAAAACTAATAACCTAAAACCAAAATAAAAATCAATTTAATTCAGAAAAACATATAGTCACGTGTACCAAAAGATATTGAGTAATATAGAACCATATCGAGTAATATATAAAACTTGTCGAGTAATTGTATTTTGACCTAACATCCAAAATATTATATATTAACATCCAAAAAGTAACAATTTTATATTATAAACCTAGCTAAGAAATAAAAAAATTTGAATTGTCGTTTCAGTTGAAATATATATATATATATATATATATATATATAACGGGTACGGAGCGGGACGAGAAGTATCATACCGTCCCTGGTTTGAGACAAACGGGGATCCCCGTCCTCATCCTCGAAGTCCTCATCCCCGACCGAGACCGGATAAACCAGATTCCTCAATGGGTTGGGACCCATTCCATGTCTAAAACGACATAAAGTAAACTAATTTCAATAAAGATAATCCAAATAATAATAATAAAGCAAAATGATGTGCTTTCTCATCAAATTATTGAAAGAATCCACAAAATTTTTAATAGAATGACAAATATACCCCAAATAATTACAAAGTAAATCCAAGCAAGATCAAGGGTATTTTTGTCTAATCATATCTTCCATTTTCCTAACCATTGGCTTTGCGCCGCGTATTTTATCCAGCCCCTGTTTTACGAATCTACTAGACAAGACCAGGGGAACTACCATGGGGCCCACCTCATCTGATAAACTTCACTTACTTCAACGGCTGAGATCAAGCTGTCCTTCATCTAGGCTGTCAATACGGGTCCCACACCACGAGCGTCTCACCGGATCATACGACAAGAATATACCAAACGGTTCTAAGTGCTAGTTTCAGAGAATTTATTACTAAAGTTAGAGTAGCGTACAAGGTCTGATGCTTAGATTACTGTTTTGGTAAGCTTTAGTAGTTTGACAGTAGCGAATATTGCTTGAAGAAAGTAAATTTCTAAAAATACGTTTGAAAAGTTATCCGATCCCCCTTTATATTTTAACCATTTTACATATATGACTACTAGTTTTGGGAACTTGTCATAAATACCCCCTAATACTATAAGAATAGCGGGTTTTTATGTTGTAAGTTTAATTAGGGTGTTTTTATATGTATCTTTATTTATGTCAGAATCAAATCAAATGGTGCATTAAAAATGTAGAAAAATAAGTCTTCACATTGATGGATGTGACAATGTGAGGAGCATATTAGTAACTAGATGTGTTTTTTTTTTTTATTAACATGGATAACCAATCCGCTATGCGATCCGACTAATCCTAGAACGACCACATGTTTTGCAGATAGTCCAGAGTCACCGCATTTGAACCTCCGTGGCCACAAGGGGATTTTATTTCTCACTGGATTTGAATCTGAAACCTCTAGGTACTTTTTGTAACATATATAGAAACATATATGTATATACATGCTCACCTTGAGAACAAGATTAATTGCATAATAACAATTATGCTTTATATATAAGCATCAAGTAAATAAATGTATGCGTACCATCAGACTCTTCTTTTCTGTCATATATATATCAATTGGTTTATTGACAGTTTTATGGTTCTTTGATGGTGAGAACAATCCCTTCAACCCCATATAAAAACTTTTCTGGCGCTATTTTTGCATCTGTCTTTCACAAGAACACACAGAATCCTATTAGTTACCAAAGGTCATCAAATGGTAAGGAATTAAGAGTGGATCTTGAGAAAGAATGGGTGATCAATCAAACAATCAGAACCCATCTTCATCAATCGCACAAGGTACACAATTCAAGCCCTAAATCTCTTAACATGAATAGATTCAATTCTGATGTGTTAATGGTATTCATGAACTTAAATTAAGTCTAACACTTTTGACATTTGGAGGCAAACTCAAACCAATCAGGCACCACCCTCTAGGTATATATATATATATATATATATATATATATATATATAAGAGTGTATTTAACCTAATCTATACTTTATTTAATTATTGTAACCTGAAATATCAAATATTAGATTTGCAGTGTTTGATCATAGTTTTGGATCAAATAATAGACGTAATAATATGTGATTCAGTAGATGGTATTTAGAATATTTTACTACTGAATTTGATAGGAACAAATAACGTAATTATATGCAAGTCATTTTACTTTATAGTTTGATAATTAATTAATCGGTTTATGTGCACATTTAAACAACCATACTCGTATAATTTTTTCGCAAGTCAGAGGTTTCATGAAAAAAACATTTCTACTCCTTATGATAGAGAAACGTTTTGCTCACACCATATTGTCATCATACTCCGGTCTGTAGAAAATTTATTGGGTTCAGTTGATTTATTAAAACATTCAGATACTAATTACTGAGGAAAATTATATGTTATAAGTTAGATGAGAGAAATAAAGGGGTATTTTTGCAATTTTCAAAAGTTTATATCTAAATATGAAAAATATCCAAAGATCAAGGTCTTTTTTGTAACTTCTAAAAATAAATAAAACACATAAAAAACACAAAAAAAGAATTCCCGAATATTCGAATATATCTCTTGAAATTACTGACTCAACACTGACGTGGATCCGAGCTGTTGGGCCCCACCATCTTAGACTGTCAAGATGAGAACCATCAAACCAAAACCCGCCACGTGGCACTCATTCTGCTTCACCTCCCATCCCCCTCTATATATAAACCGCAGATTTTATAATTAAATCATTGCAACAAAAAACCCTTTTTCCCAAAAGAAGAAAAAAACCCGAAATCGTGACGGTAGGTCCATGGGCGGCGCCACCACCAGAATTCCGATGAGCCACCGTGTCTTATCACCAAGTTACAATTACAGCGCCGGAGATAACTCCGGTGATCAACCGGCCGTTCAATTATCCGGTTCCATCTTTGGCTTCCTCGAAGAAGAAGCCACCGTGTTTTCGTTCCCGGAATCCGACAGGATCTCTGATATCCAACACGATATCGAAGAAGAAGACGAGACTGAAACCAAAAACCCCGAAAAAATCGAAGACAAAATTAAATTTTGGGACACCCAACATCAAAATTTACATGTAAGTTTCGTTTATTTAATTACAACATTTTACGGATCTCGTTTAAATAAAAATCTCGACGTGGAATATTCTCGGGATAATAACAAAAAGTTGTCGACTTTTATTGGATTTTTGTCAGACAACTTTGTTTAGAACAACAACATTAGAATCGAAAATCAGAAATATAACGAAGGAAGTTGTTGCGGAACTCGAGGTGGTCGAGAATGTTTGTTCTTGCTCGAGACCCGTTTCCAGTGGCTGTCGGAGCTGCCGGATGACGGAAATTTGCCGCCGGCTACAGAATTCCGGTTATAATACCGCCATTTGCAAGTCCAAATGGAAGAGCTCCTCGGATATCCCATCAGGTACTAATTTTTTATTATTAATTTCGTTTGTTTTATAAAACGTGTATATATATATACATATATATATATATACATATATATATATACATATACATATATATATATATATATACATATATATATATACATACATCTATATATATATACACATATACATATACATATACATATATATATATATATATATATATATATATAGACTTGGGATCATGTGAGACCAGCCTGTTTTCGTGAGACCCGTGAGACCAACATTTTACACTTGAAACTTCACAGCAAAATGCTGTGAATGTGACTTTTTAAAACCTTCACAGTGTTTTTGCTGTGAAGGTTCGACTTTTTTTAAACCTTCACAGTGTTTTTGCTGTGAATGTTCGACTTTTTTTAAACCTTCACAGTGTTTTTGCTGTGAAGTTTACGTGTAAAAATGTGGTCTCACGGGTCTCACGAAAACAAGCTGGTCTCATGTGAACCCAACCCTATATATATATATATATATATATATATATATATATATATATATAACATGTGAAACCAACCTGTTTTTATAAGAAAGTAAGAACATCTAAATAACACTGAACATCATAACAAGACACTATCAAGCCTTGACAGTGTTTATGTTGTGAATATTCAGTGTTTTTTTGTACCTTTACAGTATTTTTCTGTGAAAATTCAGTGTTATTTTGTGATCTCATGGCTCTTACAAAAACAAATTGTTCTCACGAAAACCTAACACACTCTCTCTCTCTCTCTCTCTCTCTATATATATATATATTATGTTATATTTTTACTAAATTTCTGTCTTTTATTAAAATGAGATAGGTTCACATGCATTCGTAGACGTGATCGATAACTCGAATATCAAAAAAGGCGAGGTGAGGGTGATAATCGAGTTGGAGTTCCGTGGTCAATTTGAGATGAAGAAAGGAAGCGAAGAATACAACGGTCTCGTATCGAAACTCCCTGACATATTCGTTGGAAAAATCGAGAGACTGCAAGCCGTGATTAAAATACTGAGTAATGCCGCAAAGCGATGCATGAAGGAAAAGAAAATGCATTTGGGACCGTGGAGGAAACAACGGTACGTAGAAGCAAAGTGGCTTCGAGTCGTTGAACGAACAACCACGACTCTGATTAAACCGTTGGCGATGGGTGAGTATTCAACGCATCTGGTTAAGACTCGAGTCAGAGCATCAATGTTGACTATGGATCTCGATAATTTACCGAAGATGCCCAACTTTTTTGCCCCGGCCGTTGAAGTCCTGTAACATTTGATTTTTATTTGTTCTGTGAAAACTATTATAACCGATTGTAGATTACTGTGAAATATTAACAGCTGTACCAGATATTGTCTGTTTTATCCATACCATAAACTCATAAGCTTAAAACGCATATGAATGATAATGTATCTGATCCTTTATAAGACAACCTCTGTACCTTTTCCAACTGATGTGAGATCTCGCAAATTTACAACTTTCGGGTTTCAGCTACATTCGGTTCAGTAATTTTGAAGACACGCCATAATTTTTTGTTTAGTGTAACAATGAAATGGTTGTGGATTTTGGCTACGGTATTTGGTGAAATGAAACGGGCCGTTCTTTTAGGGACAGAACTATATGGGTTCGTTTAACGTTTTTTAATGAAATAAAACGTTTTTACAAGATGTCGTTTTCAGTAAAATTTCTTTACGTTGTTTGATTGAATGGAAAGAGTAACAAAATAACAACGGTAACAAAATAAGTAATTTGACGTTGACTCCCGTAAATACAAAAAAAGGTATTGGGAATCTCGTTCGAATTGTCCATTTGTGTCAATTATTTTGGGAATCGTAATCATTTGATTGAACGTGATAGAGGACCGTGTAACTTAATTTAAACGTGTACGATCTAAAATAAATATCCATGATGAAAAAGATACATATTTTAATAAATGTTTAATTATTATCTTTTTGATTAAGTAAAAGACAAATTTACCCATGGTAATAGAAAGAGAAAAAATCTCCATTTAATAATTAAAGGTAAAAATAGTCGAACATTCACAACAAAAACATTGTGAATGTTACATTCATAGCGTTTTGCTGTGAAGTTTCAAGTGTAAAAAATTGGTCTCACGAGTCTCAAGAAAACATGTTGGTCTCATGTGATCCGAAGTCTATATATGTGTGTGTATATGTGTGTGAGAGAGAGACACTCCAACAATAAATATTTAGACAATAAGGGGTTGTTTGGCAGTTGTTGAATGATTTGGTGTAAAATGATTAAGTGATCAGAATGATTAAGATGCTCTCATGATATAGTTCAAAATGAAATATAATTGTTTGGTAACTATTTACAATGAAATTAGGGCGTTGAATGGTTAAGAGAGGCTTAGGATACAAAATCATTCAGAGCATGCCTCTTAAGAACGATTAAGAGGTAAACAAACAACCCCTAAATAAGATATAAAACCAAATTTGTCAAAAATTAAATTTGTAACCGACATATATTTATTAGTACAAAATATTTTTAAACAACTTTAACTGTTTGGGCATAAAAATAATTCATATTTGGCAAGTTGTCAAGAAGATCCATGGTCAACATTGATGCTCTGACCCTAGCCGGTCGAGTAGAGTAACTGTCTACCGCCAACGGCTCGACCAGAGTCGTGGAGGTGTTCCGTTCAATGACTCTGAGCCACTTTGCTTGCATGTATTGTTGCTTTCTCCACGGTCCCAGATGCATTTTCTTTTCCGCCATGCATTTCTTTGCGGCCGTGCTCAGTATTTTAATGATGGTTTCCAGTCTCTCGATTTTCCCAACAAATACGTCAGGTAGTTTACTCACGAGGAGGTTGTACTCCTCGCTTCCTTTTTTCATCTCAAACTGACCCTTTAATTCCAGCTCGATTATCACTCTCACATCGCCTTTTTTACGATCGGAGTGGTCGATCACGTCCACAAACGTGTGTTCTCCTGCTTCATAGAAAATAAAAAATCGACAATTTAGTAACGACAACGAGATATTCTAAATCATACCAAAATACATAAATGGAATTTTATTGAAGATAATTAAATAACGAAAACGATTGATTTTGATTTTGATATTTTTTGGAACAAATATAAACATCAAAGAATGAAAATTATATATATATAATATACATAGCCAGTTTTATATGAAAACAATAATCAATTAAGAGAATTAGAAAATGGTCGAATCACATATGATTTTACATTAAAATCACATGTGATTCAAACGACTTTGACTGTGAGCAACGATTGCAGGTCACGACGTCACATCACCCGCACACTATTGTATTAACTTGTGTTCTTTTATTTGGTTACTGTTCTCGTTTAAACTATATATATATATATAATATATATATATATATATATATATTCAAACTATTATAAATAAAAGATAAAAATATTGTGGTTAATATTGAATTAAAATGGAAATAAAATTTCCAAATATTACCAGATGGAATATCCAACGAGCTCCTCCATTTGGACTTGCAAATGGCCGAATTGTAACCGGAATTTTGCAGCCGGCGACAAATTTCACTCATCCGGCAACTCCGGCAACCGCTCGAGACCGGCCGGGTGCAAAAACATACATTCTCGACCATCTCGACTTCCCTGATTACTTCTTTCGTTATACTTCGGATTCTCGATTCTAAACTCGTTGTTCTGAATAACGTTGTCTGCCAAAAACATTATAAAATACGTCGAAACTCGTTAGAATTAGAAATATACGTGATTAACGATTTCAAGATTATATAATGGTCGTTCAATGCCAGTAAACTTTCGATCAAATAATCGAAACTTACATGTAAATTTTGACGTTGGGTTTCCCAAAATTGAATCTTGTTCTCGATAACTTCGGGGTTTTCCGTCTTCTCGTCGTCTTCGATTTCGTGTTGAACATCGTAATACACGTTTTCCAGAGACGATAAGACGGTTGGTTCCTCTTCGAGAAACCCGAAGATCGAACCGGATAATTGCATCGCCGGTTGATCATGTGGGTGGTGATCACCGGTGGTGTAATTGTGATTTGGTGACAGCACACGGTGGCTCATCGGAATTCTGGTGGTGGCTCCGCCCATGGTCACCAACCTCACAACGTTCTTTTGTTTAGTTTTTTAGGGTTTTATTTTCAATGATATTAATTATTGGGGAACTATAGTTATATATAGGGAGATGACTGCCACGTGGCGTGTTGTTATTTGTTGATGTTAATCCGACGGTCAAATTTGATGGGTCGGATCCACGTCAGGTTCGAGTCAATAGAGACATGGAGATATACTTCAAATATTCGGATATTTGTCCTTTACTTTTAGTAAACTACAAAATAGTCCTTGAACTTTAAATCTTGTCTTTTGATGGATTATTTCTTTCAAGAATTATAGGATTACCCTGTTGACTAACGTTGGTACAATTTTCTTAACACCAACGTCTGATAAGATTGGATTACTAGGGTACCGTTTACCAAACGTTTACCCAGGTAAGCGCTTACCAAGTCACTTTACTTTACCAAATGAATATGACAATGACTAAAAATCTTACCCGGTAAGAGCGAAGCCAAGAATCGAGTCTTACCCGGTAAGTGAGGACGAGGACTTTTACCATGGTTAGCGCTTACCGGGATAAATTGTTGCATATGATGCGTTTTAGTGAATAAAATCTTATCCGATAAGTAAATGATAGTGTTGTTTTATTACCGATAAGTGCTTACCGAGCAAGTGTTTAGATAAATGGCCAAAATCAAATAACTCCCCGGACCAAAACGGTTTTCGGTTATTCGATTTGTGGGTTAAACGGTTCCGTTAACCCAAAAATAGCTATTTAATAAGTCACTAAACTACTTATTATTATTTAAACCCTGATATCTTACACAATTTCTTTCATCCGTCTATCTATACAGTTATGTTCAATCTCGTACTGTCCATGGACCAAACACACATTAATCTTGGGGTTGTTTTGTCATCCTTAATGGACCCGACTTCACGGTTCCATCATAGTGGAAGAAAAAACATGTCTACATGTTTAACTTTATTGGACCAAAAATATAAATTCAAAACATAAATGGCTAAAAATGAAAAGATTTGAAAAATATAGGGACTGTTTAAGTAACTTTTCATAAATATAACGAAGCCGTATCCTATCATGTTCCGGTTTGTCTCTCACGATTTGTCGCATGCTGCCAATGCGACGCTCGTGGACTTTGCGGGCTCCACTTGACAGCCTGGATAGATGAGTGAGATGTAATCCTAGCCGTTGAAAGTAAAGTATACTACTCTCATCTACTGAGGCGGGTCCCAGGCTATGACCACCCAGCTTTATTAGAAAGTGGATTTAATACGCGGCGTAAAGGCCATGGTTTTTCCTTAATAATAGGATTTATTAATTGACCATAACGCCCTTTGTCATCACATTGATTAGCATATGCCAAGGGCATATTAGTCATTTAAATTATTTGATAGAAGAAAGTATAAAATAAATTCCACGTTCTTCACCTATTTTTCTCGTGTGATTTAATTTTTTTAAAAGATTTAATATTTAATAAATTAGTTTATTTAGATGGTTTCTTATATGCATATAATAATAAAAGGGTTTAATTGTCATTTTCATTAATAACTTAATATATTATATGAAAGAAATAATATTTTATTTTATTTTTGTTATATATAGATGACGTGAATTAGAGATACTTATGGGTTGAGTTGATTGGGTTGAAGACATTTAAACAATCCAATCCAATGCTTGCGGTTTGAAAAAATCTTAATCCAAATCAAACCAAAGTGCAACCTAACCCAACCCAACCCAACACGTACAGGTTGGTCGGGTTGGTTGAATTGATACTTTGGTACATTAAAATATTCTTCCAACCTTGAATATGTTTTTTCTTTTACTCATAATTTCTTTTTCATTATCAATCATTTGATACAACTTATCCATATTTCTTATGTATATCACATTCAGTTAATTTTATCAATTTACATATATATGTTCACAGTTCTTGAACATATATACGAATGTGTTACATAGAGATGTGAATAGATTGAAAATATGTGTATATGAAAAACATACATGATAGTGTAATTGTGTAAAATGAAATAATATCGGGTTCATCAGGTTGGGTTGAGTTCAAATAATAGTAACCCAATACCTACGGTTTGACAATTTTACAACTCGATTAGACATCGGGTTACTTCGGGTTGGGTTATTTCGTGCTGATCGGGTTTTTGAGCACCCCTAACGTGAATACTACTGATAGTTGATTTATGTATTTTCAATTTGAGCAGTGTGAAATAGTAATAGAATCGTGTAAGATTTTGATTCAATAAACTGTTTAAGTTTGTTAATTTTGATAACAAGCGTAAAATGATGATAAATATCAAGTCATTTTTTTTAATTACGATATATTTTTTTCCGTTTAAGATGTAAATGTTGGTAATTCAAAAATAACGGGGTTCTGTTAATATCTTGGGTAACTCGGCAATCCTCCTCCTCAACCACACCGTCGTCTCTTTGATTTCAGGTCCATTCTCAAGGTTTTGGCAAACAACGATTTGAGCATCATCACACTTGAGATCCGGTCACTGTAACAACTTGGTTTTCGAAACAAGTTGAGTTGCACGGAGGTTTTGTTCTCCAATATCGAGGTTCGTTATGTACGATTGAATCTTTAGAAGTACGGCAGATGTTTTATATATTTTGAATTATTTTATGTAAGTTTTACGTTTTTCAAATGTAAGAGATCTTTGGGTCTTTAAGCCCGTGCACAAACCCAACACGTTTATAGAATGTTGACAACAAGTTATCAAGTCCTTACAAACGTGTTTGGGTATGCTAGATTAGGACTCGAGATGGACAAAAAAATCGGTCCCCGGATCACCTGGTTTTAAAAAAATATACAAAAATATTATACATGTTTTTTTAATTACAATTTTTTAAATTTAGTATAGAAATACAGTTTAATTAATACATTTAAGTAGATAAAATCTTGAAAAACATGAAAATTTAGAAGAAAAAAAAAATGGAAAATTTGTATTATAATTTATAAAAAAATATTTTTTTATAAATAAATCGGGCCTATTACCTATATATAACCAGTATCACTCCCGTAACCTGTCCTATGCTGGCAGGACCTTGAAATTTAATAAAAAAAGTGTAACCGGTCATGAACCATTGGGCTATAACCGGTCCCAATCGGTCATGAATAGGGCTGGACACATTTTGACCATCTTTACATTTATGCCCATTAGACAAGAAAATTAGTTTAGGGCCGAGCATTTCTACAAATACACATTTTAAACTGTGAGATTGAATAGGTTGTTTTGACGCCAATTTTTTAAGGCATAAAAGTCTGGTGTTATTTTATTGGCAAATCCAATCATATTGCTTATTTTATTGGGCCTGTACTCGATCTGGGATAAATGAGATTTTCCACTACGTCTCTCTGAGATTTAACCAGTATGCCATGACCCACGTGGTTTAGATCGAGACTCGAGAAGACCTAAAAGAGAATAAAGTTAAAAGATTTTCTTTAAATATATAATACTTGTATAAGACAAAGTTTCATATACACTTTTTATTAACCTTTTTAACTACTTGATTTTACCAGTAATTGGGACCAATGACTCACTACAAAACATCAGGGTTTTTCTCGTTAGAAAAATCTGTCAGAAATCTGCTAGAAAACGTTATTTTTGGTGGTTTACCGGTCGGAAAAAGTTTTGCCGGAAAACAATATTTCCATCGGCTTTTCTAGCGGATTGATCAATTTCCGATGGATTTGATCGTCAAAAACCAGCCACAACCTTTTTTTCTCTAATATCCAATATTCTTGAATTAATTAACAAAATTAATAATTATGATTAAATTATCGATGGATTTTTGCTTAGAAATTTAATTAAAATTATAAAATAAAATAAATTCTTTAATTTAAAAAAATTAATTAATTTTTTTTAAATTTAATTAAATTACCGGCAAAAAATCATTTGGAAATTTAATAAATTTTCCGTAAATTATTTTTAAAATTGAAAATTACTTTTTTTTCCCGATGAAAATCCTTAGAAAATCCACCATAAAATTTTAATCGATTTTTTTTTTTAAATTCAGTGACGGATTATGGTGGACGTCAACAAAAGTTGAGTTTTTTTTTAAATTTTTTTGGGATCCGCAGGTAATTTTCCGACAAAAAATCAGCTAGAAATTTTCCCGATGAAACCTACTTTTTCTCGTAGTGACTTTGTGTTAACTTTTATTTGTATTATTCATATATGTAGTTTAACATCAATGATAGCTAGATTCTGACAATGATGGGAACAAAGGAATCTGGTCCTAATAACTCTTTCCACGAGGTTTGGCGTACCTTCTTTTTAATGTATGTGCAGTCTTAGGCGTTGTTTGGAACTGACTTAATAAGTTTAATAGCTTGTATGGTTTATTTGGTAAGTCATATACGAGTGTTTTTGGTTATGTCGTGTTATGCTTAGCTTAATAACAACCCCGTTTGTACCTGTTAAGCCATGAAATCCCATCTCAGGCCCCTAATTCAAATGGACCATGATCATGAGAAGTTACTATGCTTGTGCAATATCTTCAACCGATTACGATAATCAAGTGACGGGAATTGGGTTTTTGGAGGTTCGTTATCGGTGTGAGGTAACATGTTCTTTGTCACACTGTAAATCGTTGTTCTTCTGTTCTAATCATCGTCAATGATTTTACCCTGTCACCCTAACCAAACATGTTCCATCGCCATAAAAAAGTTTGTATTAGTTGATGAGTTTAGATAAACGTTACATATAACATGAATAATCATTTTTAACTATTATTATATAATCAATTAAATTCAAATTTTATTAATTTATTATTTAATTTTTAGTTAAATAATTTATTTTGATAAAAATAGTATATACTAATTTATTTTAATTATATTATGTAACGTTAATATGTCTTAATTTGAAAACTTATGCTTTTCTAAAAAAATGTTTATCAACTTATTACAACTTAGAATTGTTTAATTTTTTAAAAAACTTTTTATTACTGGTTTGACACTGGTATAAACAATTTATTCAAATACTAAAAAATACTTATTATCGATATCATACTGAAATAAGTCAATAAATTGTTTTTATAAACAATCTCAATCACCAATTTAGTGGTTTCTTAAACCATGGTTATGATGTAGCGTACATATCACTCCAACTAGGGCTCATCTTCTACCACCTCCGTTTCAATCTCAAAGCGTACAGTATACCGGAAAACCATGGTCGGTTTCGAAATAGGCGACGTTCCTTTCAATCCCGACGGATGGGGTCCACCGGAAACCGTCACCTCCTCCGTTCCTTTCCTCCCAAACTACCCCGCTAACGTTCCGTTCGCCCCCTTCTCCCGCTCCGATAAACTTGGCCGCATCGCCGACTGGACTCGATCGAATTACAACCCTAACCGTCCCAACCGTAACAATCCGGCGGACTCTGCCTTTGATTTCACTACCGATGATTCATTCGGCGGTGGCCTCAACGCCGATGACGATTCCTCATTCCGTCTCGTCGATGGTAAGCCACCTCCACGCCCAAAATTCGGTCCAAAATGGCGGTTCCAGAACAATCGTAATCAGCTCCCGCAGCGGCGTGATGAGGAGGTGGAAGCGCGTAAACGTGAAGCTGAAAAGCAACGTGCTCGCCGGGACAGGTTGTACCATGCGAATCGGACGGGAGGTAATAACCCTAGACGCGAAGCAGCTGTGTTCAAATCATCAGTCGATATTCAACCGGAATGGAATATGCTTGATCAAATCCCTTTCTCGACGTTCACAAAACTCTCTTACAATATTCCTGAACCAGAAGATCTACTCATCTGTGGTGCGATCGAACCGTACGACAAGACATTCGACAGGACGACACCGAAGAACGAACGCCGATTGGAGCGTTTCAAGAACAGGAACTTCTTCAAAGTGACAGCAACCGATGACCCGATCATCCGGCGTCTTGCGAATGAAGACAAAGCGACTGTTTTCGCGACTGATTCTATCCTTTCGACGTTAATGTGTGCTCCTAGATCAGTTTACTCATGGGATATCGTAATTCAACGAGTTGGAAACAAACTGTTCTTTGATAAACGAGATGGTTCTCAATTAGATTTGCTATCAGTTCATGAAACTTCTCAGGAGCCATTGCCTGAAGCTAAGGACGATATCAATTCTGCTTATTCTTTATCTGTTGAAGCTGCTTACATCAATCAGAATTTTTCACAGCAAGTTTTGGTAAGAGATGGGAATAAGGTGAACTTTGAGGAGCCAAATCCGTTCGCTAATGAAGGCGAAGAAGTTGCATCAGTTGGGTATCGTTATCGGCGTTGGAAGCTTGATAACGATATGTATCTGGTGGCAAGATGTGAGGTTCAGAGTTTCTTGGAGATTAATGGTAAGAAATCTTTCTTAACTTTGAATGCTTTGAATGAATTCGATCCGAAGTACTCAGGTGTGGACTGGAGGAGGAAGTTGGATACTCAAAGGGGTGCAGTTTTAGCCACTGAGTTGAAAAACAATGCTAATAAGTTGGCTAAGTGGACGGCCCAAGCAATCTTGGCCGGAGCCGATATGATGAAATTGGGATATGTGACTAGGGTTCATCCTCGTGATCATTTTAATCATGTTATATTAGCAGTTGTGGGGTATAAACCAAGGGAATTTGCAGGGCAGATCAATTTAAACACTTCGAATATGTGGGGAATTGTGAAATCAATTGTTGATTTGTGCATGAAATTGAAGGAAGGAAAGTATGTGTTGGTGAAGGATCCACAGAAACCTCAAGTTAGAATCTATGAAGTTCCTGCTGATGCTTTTGAGAATGATTATGTGGAGGAGCCATTGCCAGAGGATGAGCAGGTTCAGCCTCCTGTGGAAGATGGTGACATTGTTGATGGAATTGGAGGTCTAAATAATGTGGAAGGCAAGGAAGTGAAGGCTGAACTTTAGAAGGTATTTCTTGCTTTCCTCTGCTAATTTGAGTGTTCTTGATCATCCATTTGTTTCCTTTACTGTGATTTAGTTATTTGTGGTGGTAATAAAGTTATGGGGTCTGCTTGATTATGATGATCTGTGGGAAAGTTTTATAAGTATTAAGATTCAAGAAATCTTTAAGCTTTCACAATAAATACAAATCCCTGTTTGCATCTTTGGCCATTGTATTGAATGAAAGCCTGAACAACCTTCAGCATGTGGTTAGATCTTTGATTGTATAACCTGCAATGATTTGAGATAAGTGGTTATTGGGTATATAGAGATATGGAGAGGGCTCCCGAATTTTTTGGGTCCAATTATACATGTTTTTAATCTTTAACCCAATTATATATGTTTTTAATGTTTTAGGCTTTTTACTTTAATGACTTTTTGGTGAAAGTTGATTATGATGAACTGGTCGAAGATTTTGTTTCAAATAATGTTAGAAAAATGATTTTATTCAAGTGAAGATATTGTAAGGGGCTGTTTGGCAGTTACTGAATGGTTTAATACATAATGATTAAGTGGTCAGAATGATTAAGAGACTATCATGATATAGTGCAAATGAAATATAATTGTTTACAATGAATTAGGGTGCTGAATGGTTAAGAGAAACCCATGATACAAAATCATTCAGAGGGTGTTAAAACCATTAAAATACAAACTTTTTTTTGCCAAACAAGATTTACCTCTTAACAATTTAGATGTTGCCTTTTAATGGAACTATTAAGAGGTAAACAAACAACCCCTAAGATAATGTTACTGTGTCATATTAAGATATTGTAAGACTTTTAATATAATATATGGTATAAACTTTTATATTTTGTTTCTAAAACAACATGTCCGGTCAATCTATAGGTGTAATAGCATCTTTGAACAGATTGAAACAACCCTGTCGTTAATGTCTGCAATTCTGAGTTTATTGGCTGTTTATGAATAAACATTGAATCTAGCCAATCTTGAATGTTTATGTGAATTATGTGCCTGGGGGTGGACCCGCTATGGTGCATATGGTGGTATGGGCCATCGTTTCGTTCCTCCTCTAGTGTAAAAGTTTTAGGGTGGTGAAAGGTATCATCTATTCCTAGAAACTATAATAATAACACAGATTTTGATAGAGTTGGTTTGCATGGTTCTTTCTAACCTTACTAGTGTAGATTCAAATCCCATTTGTATCATTTTTTTTTTAGTTTTTAACTTTTAATTTCAGATTTATTATGATTCTGAATTTTTTTTGGAATAAAAAACTCGAACACATGACAGCTGATACAAAAAGCAAGGAACTAACCATCAAGCGAATGATGATTTTGTAAAAATATATTCGTAGCTTTGTATTTTATTGTTAAATGGTGCCACAATTTGAAAAAAATTATATGGGATTGTTTGGTTGGTTTTCTATCAAGTTCTGCATGAATAAAGATGTCTGTATGGATTCATCTGTCAGTACAGATTGGAATATTTTGTTTGAAAGGGTTTTTTCATGATTGAAATGAGCGTATTTTTTAATTGGAAGGGGTAGGTTTAGGAAGTTTTGGCTTTCTGCATAAAAACTTTCCCTTAGAAACTTACTTAATAAGGTAATTTTTGTATCATTAAGCCACTATCAAACAGACGTGTATAACTGACTGAATAAACTGTAAGTCTTGTTAAACTAGTTCATATGATAATAAACAGGACCCAAGTGTGCCTCTATATGTGCATAATCTAACAATAACTCGAAGAAATGTTTGGCATCCAAAAGTAGGCATAGTAGCGGGGCGGGGATGGGGTGGGTTTTGTAATCCCCGGCTCTGGCCCCGGTTTGTAGTAACGGCCCCCGGCCTCGGCCCCGGTCCCCCGCGGGTACGGGGATTATCATCCCGTTCCCGGTCAAATCTCTAGCAATCTCCGGTCAAACCCCATAAATACTATCATTTACTTTGATTCTACCGGGGATCCCCGGCCCCCGTGGGTACGGGGATTATCATCCCGTTCCCAATTAAATCTCTAGCAATCTCCGGTCAAACCCCATAAATAGTATCATTTAGTTTGATTCTACCGGGGATCCCGGCCCCGGCCCCAACCTCGGTTTGAGTAACATCCCCTGTCCCCGGTTTGAGTCTACCAGGGATCCTCGGCCCCGGGACCCGTTTTAGCGAGGAATCCCCATTCTCGTTCGGGTCGGGGCAAATCACCATCCCTATCCAAAAGCTTGGTGAATGTAACATATATTACCCTTAAACTATCATCTATTTATATTTTTCATTTTTCCACTTATGACCAACTAATTGTCTGATTAACTGTTCCATTAGACAAACCCATCAGTTAACAAACCAGCTTATCAACTAGTTTACAGAACATTGGCTAAATGTAATGAAGTTTGTTCTACCTCCTATTTTGTATAACGATCAAGGTTCTAAATTGCATGAGGTGTGGCGTGGGGGCAAAGTCAAACCTTACACGCCACAACGAGGATGCAACGTTTCTCAAAATGTAATATAAGGCAGAAAATGTGTATCTGTCTCTGTGTAACATACTAATAAACATATAGACATAATTGAATGTGCACAGAAGATGAACATATGGTGAACAATTTCTTAAGAATATTATTATAGGTTGTGAACAAATTCTGAATCTACAAGATCTGTTATAATTTGTGAACATATTGTGAATACAAACTAAATCTAACTATTTTTGAATATCCTAGTAAGAAATGCTTAAAATTGTTGCATTTTGTTCGTAATCTCTTCACCTTGGGTGCGCATTTACTTGTGTGTGTGTGTGCGTATATGTTACCGAGAGAGGTATGCATGGATTTTAATTTAAAAAAATGCATTAATGTTTAACTAGAAGGTACTCGCACAATGCAGCAAGATATATCTCGATTTTAGTGTTTCGTTTTTTTTTTCTTAGTTGATATTATAATACGGTTTTATGTGGTTTTAAGAAAGCGATAATGTTTTTATTTTTGAATAAAATATAAATATGAAGATATTATAAAAAATAAAAAATATATTGATATTAGTACCAAACTGACTATTTAAAATTTCTCTTTTTTGTGTATTTTTCTAATTCATTTTTTTTTATTTTTGGTTTAATAATATAATTTTTTATAAAAATAATAATTGAGCATTTTGTTAGAACTCAATGATTATCCTAATTATATTTTAGTTTTTTATATTTAAAATGAAATGTTTATTCTCTATTTGATCATGTTTATCTGAAGTTAGTTATACGAATTCAAACATGAAAGTTTAATAAATTGTACTTAAGCACAACTTACTTATAATCTTGAATTTTAAGTAATATGCATCAATAAACAGTATTTCATGTATAAAAAAATGGTTTTTATGAGTTTTTGTCAAATGTTTTATAATATATATAGATAAATAAAATCATATATCTTAAATTAGTGGTATAAGATGAATTTGAGAAATTTTGAAGTTCTCAAATGATTAATCTTCTATATATACATATATGTTTAATATTCATTATTCATTGTTGTAATGATATCAAAAAGTTAATATTTAAATTAGAAGGAAAAAAATTCATGTATATATATATATATATACATAGACTTGGGATCACGTGATAGCAACATGTTTTCGTGAGATCCGTGAGACCATTTTTTCACTTGAAAGTTCATAGCAAAATACTGTGAAAGTAACCTTCACAGTGTTTCGTTGTGAAGGTTTGGTTTCTTTTTACCTTCACAACGTCTTCCTGTGAAGGTAAATGTGTAAAAAATGGTCTTACGGGTCCGGTCTCACATGAACCCAACCCTACACACACATATATTAACAGTATATAAATTATAAAGTGATCAAATATTCAAAATATATTTGGAAAGTTTTTACTACTTAGTTTTAACTTTGAGATTATGATGTGTGCGAACCCATGAATATGTGAATGATGTGATTAGGTAAATTTGTAAAAGTGTAAAATCCAATGTTAAAGATATAAAAACACAAAAGTTAAAAAAATTAAAAATTAAACTAGAATTTAAAAAAAAATCGAAAAAAAAAAAATCACGCCTTGTAAAATCACTGCCGAGATGTGTCTCAAAACGACATGGCATGTGCTATATTTTTCGTAACGACGATGATGCGTCTTACACCATGGCACCTTATAAATTACTGATAATGGTTAAATTTTATCTTGATTTATCAGAAAAAAAACATTTAATTTTCCTTTTTTTTATGTAGATACCAGTATAGGCAAACAATGTTGATTTTGTTTTCCATTCGTACGAAGAAAAGTTGTTGATTAAAGTAGTCCAATACCTAAAATCATACACAAAATCTGTATCCATAATCGTAAACAATAAACATAACCGTAAGAGCAGTATCTGATTGGTTTAAGCGTGAGCTCAAAATGTCAAAAGTGTCAGGAGGTCCTAGGTTCGAATCCAATGAGGAATAAAAAATTCTTTTCTGACCACGGAGGTTCAAATACAGTGACTCCGGACTATAGGCAAAGTGGGTGATCATCCTAGAATTAGTCGGCTCGCATAGCGGTATTGGATATCCAGATTAATAAAAAAACAATAAACATACAAATTTATCAGTTTTGTTTTTACATTTAATCCTTATATTTGGCATCATATATCAAGAAAAAGGTTTAATATTTTAATAATTAGATTTTATTTTTGTCAACAAAAATTCAATAAATAGACAAGAATTATACAAAATATAATAATGGGATTGCTTGTTTTCCTTTGATGCACTTAAACAATGGGCATGGCAGGCAACTATGCCTTTTTTTTAATATTTAAATAAACATTAAATAAATAAACTTATATATATATATATATATATATATATATATATTTATATATTTATTAACCTGGATATCCAACCCGCTATGTGAGCAGACTAATTCCAAGACGACCATTTGCTTTACAGATAGCCCGGAGTCACCGTATTTGAACTTCCATGGCCAAAAGGGGGTTTTTATTCCTCATTGGATTTGAACCTGAGATCTACTGATACTTTTGACCTTTGACTTTTATAGTTTATTTTTGTAATCAATGACGTAAGCAAAATAAAACATAGTATTCATGACGGAACTATGAGATATTTGAAAATACAAGAGATATCAAACAAAAAAGCGAAAATATTCCTTCGAAATCAGACAAAAAAAACTAGAAAAAGAGTCATTCGAAAAGATGGAA